ACCCTTCACCAGCTTCCCCTCCTCTAGCTTCCTATTCTCCCTCTCTCCCCCCTCCCTCTACACCCTTCACCAGCTTCCCCTCCTCTAGCTTCCTATTCTCCCTCTCTCCCCCCTCCCTCTACACCCTTCACCAGCTTCCCCTCCTCTAGCTTCCTATTCTCCCTCTCTCCCCCCTCCCTCTACACCCTTCACCAGCTTCCCCTCCTCTAGCTTCCTATTCTCCCTCTCTCCCCCCTCCCTCTACACCCTTCACCAGCTTCCCCTCCTCTAGCTTCCTATTCTCCCTCTCTCCCCCCTCCCTCTACACCCTTCACCAGCTTCCCCTCCTCTAGCTTCCTATTCTCCCTCTCTCCCCCCTCCCTCTATACCCTTCACCAGCTTCCCCTCCTCTAGCTTCCTATTCTCCCTCTCTCCCCCCTCCCTCTACACCCTTCACCAGCTTCCCCTCCTCTAGCTTCCTATTCTCCCTCTCTCCCCCCTCCCTCTATACCCTTCACCAGCTTCCCCTCCTCTAGCTTCCTATTCTCCCTCTCTCCCCCCTCCCTCTACACCCTTCACCAGCTTCCCCTCCTCTAGATTCCTTTCCTCCAGGCCATCCTCCTCCAGCTCTACCTTGTCCTTCTTGTTCTAACAAGTTTGGGTGTTTTTATATTCTTGGGTTTAGGCAAGTAATGTTTTCGTATCTTGGGAAGGAATAGTCTCACACCTAGATCACCACACAAATTATGCAATTAGTGATTTTATACCCTTTCAACCGAAATTGGCAGTGTATAATATTCGCCACTTTCATTTGTCATCCTGTTGGTCTGTCCCTCCATCTGACCTGACTGCAGTTTCCAGAGAAAGTTCAGCCACTGTTTGAAGCATGGACATCACATTTTATATTGCTACATCAAGGGAAGACGGAGTGTAACATCCTAAAATGAGGGCTCTTTGACCTTTATTTCACCTTTGACCTTCATCCCAAGTAAATGTTTTATATACAATGTAATACAGGTTTTAGAAAAGAGCATTGTCATTTTTTCATGAAAGAGCATCAAACTTTGTTTATATGTACACCATGTACATCAAGGGAAAGTAGTGTGCTGCATACTGTAATGAGGTCATACTGACCACTTTTTAGCTTCGACCTTGACCTCCTGTACTAAAATTTGTTTTTGGTTCAGGTTTCTGGAGCTTATTTCAGTTATTGTTTTATGAATGGGAAGCAAACTTTGCATATAGGTACATCAAGGGAAGGCAGTGTGCTGCATACTATTATGAAGTCAGAGTGACCTCTTTTGATCTTTGACTGTGTAAGACTACTTTACTTCATATCAAGCAAAATGTCACAACAACAACAAGTTTACTGCAACCTCAATATGACCACAAGTTTTAAATAAAGCATTGTCATGGAGCAGGTTTCCAGAGGATATCATGGCTACACAACTAAAAGCTGATAGTGCATTGGTTAAAAGCCTTTAACTGTTATTGAAAAAAGTCTCTAATTTTTTCTGGTTTTGATATCTTCCACAGTGACTTTCTCTTTTTTTTGGCTTATGTTTCTCTGGAAGTGCCGACATTTTAGTTTGTCCTTGCTTGGTAGTGAGTACGGGTCTCGCCGAATATGAATAGCGCATTACCTGTCAAACTGGTTATCATTCTACCACTGACTGTCTTGCTATTCAATATACTGCGCACCCGGTTCGGCAATTGATTTAAAAAATCAAACGCACTAACCTAAAGACTTTGAAACACTGCCAAGCTGGTTGTTACTTGTGGCACATTCTTGGAAATTGTGTATCCAAAATAGAAGATATATCACTGAAAATACTTCAATACATTACATCTCATATATATCATCGGTCTTTCATGGTCATATAACCGCATCCACACCTTAAAACTTGATTGTGAACTGTCAGTCTTTGTCGTGTAGATGTTTAACTAGCTAAACACATGCAAACTGTGATATTTTTCTTTCAGGATCGTTTGTTTTGTTGTTGGTTTTTTTTTGGGGGGGGGGGGGGGGGGGGGGGGGGGCAAGGATAATGTATTAGATATTTTAATTGGTCGTACTTTACTATTATTTCCACTTTTCTAAGATAGATGATATCGTTAATGTGATTCATTTCCATCTTATTCAACTGATCTGATAAAAATGGGGGTTCAAAATCATGAAAGTGTTCTATTTATATAGTATAGTTATAATGTCACCTGGCGCACACGTTGAACAAATGATAACAGGTTTGACAGACAAGGATTTTTTTATACCTAGGGAAACCCCCACTCGTTACCAAGTAAGTACATTCTATAATGTTGGCACTTCCTTAGATACAACAGCCGGAAAAGATCACTGAGGAAAATCTCAAAACCAGAAAAAAATAAAACTTTTTTTTTTTTTAAATCTCAGTTGAATGCTTTTTAACTTGCACTGTCAGCTTTAATGTAAATTTGAGGTACAACATGGTCAGGAAATGTGTTATGTAATGAAATGAAGTTCATAAGGTCAATGTGCACCTATTTGACCCTCATGACCTCAACTATAAATCACTTTCTATTCAGGAATAGATATGTTGAAGCAAGGGTATACGTGAAGCCCATGCTAGTTAAATCTAGTTTCCTGCTGTTTGTTTTAAGCATATTTTACAATGACTATAATCAACTAAAACTTAAAATCTAGAAAAATACTCTGCTGAAACTAATTTTGATTGAACAGGATCATTTCTGTCACTTGGATAAGGTTCCTGGTATGCATCATCTTTAAAGTAACAATTTTCACTATTCTGCATTTGTATAGACCTTTTAGAGATCTAGACTGAGAATGAAAATTAAGGGAAAACAAAATAATCAATTGTTTTTCAACTTTTGAAAACACTTATGTTTTTATTCTTATTTCGATGTCTCACCAGTTTCTGCAATGATTTTGTATTAACATTTGAGTTCAGATATTGCCTTTTTGTATTGACGATAAGCATATGGTACACTTTTTTTCTATTCCTATGGCGATAATATTTAAAGTAGTTTAAGAAAGGCACTTAACAAAAGCATTTCTAATGAAAGATAATCAAATTGTGATACAATGTTGTTTTGAATATGTTTTATAGGGAGAGATTTAGATGGTATAAACCAAGAAAGAAGGTACTCATTTGCCAGCTTCTCGAGTGGATCTGAAGGACCACCTGTGCAAGAAAATGTCGAAATGCCACAGAAAATATCTAAGAAAGCTCCAATCTCAAAAAAACGGGTTGCGTCTTTTGCTCCCCCTTCTGCTCCTCCTCCTCCTCCAGCTCCTCCTCCATCCTCCAAAAAGTTTTCTGAAGTACCTGATTATCTGAAGTGGGCTGTTTCTAACGAGAATAAACCCAAGATAGCTGCTGCAGATCTTCTGGCTTCAAAACAGAGGTTACGTCATACTAAACCAAGAGAGCCAGGTAATAACTCCAGGTCAGATGTATGTTTGTAGTACATTTAATATATACACTTAATCAAGTAATAACTCAAATTTGACTGCTGTCTGTTGAGTTGTGACTGAAATAATAGGATGGGGAAAAAAAATCATTCCTTACCTAGATTGTGTGAGAGAGAAATCTCCAACCCTTAGGGGATTTACTTTGGTTGTCCCACCCAAGGCTATACTGAGGGTTAGACAACCAAATTATCACCCAATGGATCGAGGTTTCCCTGTCACATCCTCAAGGTAGGGGAAGATTCTATTAATCAGCAAAATAAGGGAACTTATGCATCTACTTGAAAAAAAAAAAAATCTCACAAAGTAACTGTTCCCTGTTGTGTTTTATTATTAAGCAAGATGGAGCATAATAAAATTGTCTAGACAAGAGTACTGCATTTAGTGGACAGCTTTTTGACATTACAATTAAAGTGTACCATAAAGGCTGTATCAACTTGCTGTCTCTAAAGATAGTAACTCTGAGTCACTGACCTCCTCGTGATCCAACCAAAAGTGGTGTAGGAATCAGTTGTGTCATCTATTATAGATATGTGTACAGTATTATAAAATTTCATGTGCGTAAATTACTCTATACCTACATGTGTATGAATTGATGCATTCATGTTTTTTTAAGTTTGATAATTTTTTTCAATTTCAGTGAATTTGGACAGAACAAATTTGTTTGACAAATTTAAAATTGAAGATCATCTGTGCATGTATCTTGTTATGGTAAGTTCACCTTGTCTTATCGATTTTTTAGCCCAAACAAATTGCTCTTCTCCCGTAGTCTGTTGTTCATCCTTAAACAACTTTTTTTATCACTATTTCTCAAAAAGTACTAAACATGTCTTGCTCAAACTTCATGTTAAGGTTCCCCTTGGTCCATAATTGTGCATGTTCCATTTGAGACTGATTGGATAAACAAGATGACCACCAGGCAGCCATCTTGAATTTTGAGAGGTCAAATTTATCATGTCTCAAGAAGTACAGATGTTCCTCAGATTCTCCTTGGTTCATAGCTTCGCGTGTTTCACTTTGAAGCTGATAACTGTTCAAGTTTGCGTATGATATTGCTATTTCTCAAGAAGTAAACAATTCTTAAAGCTTGTAGAATATCATCAAAATTTTATTTGTCATAATTAAAGTATTAAAGTGATAAATTAGGAAATGAAATTAATCAATTAAGAAAAATAACAGTTTTAGGTGGAATTATTTTATTGAAATGGATATATAATATATATTAATCTTATTCAGTATACCTGGTTAGACTTAATTTGGTATTACATATGCATGTATATATGGAGGAAAATGCTTGTGAATGCTGAGCAGTAGTGGTAATGATTTACTTTGTATTTTGTTTTATATTTTCTAGGACCATTTGGAGAGTAAGATCACAGAATGGTCTCAAATCCAAGTATTGAACTTGGCAGGTGTGGAGCAGGTCACAGATATGTTTTTCCTGGCGATGAAGTTTCAGCAGGTCAGACTGCCTGGCCTGAGTTCTCTGACACTGACAGGTAAAGTACAGTATGGCACTGAATAAAACGGGAATCATCAGGGTCATTGGTTATTTATCAGACTGTATAAAGCCATTACATTCTATTTGTGAATGGTGAAGTGAACACTTGGTGAATATGGATTTATCAGTGAAGGGAGATCAAATATTTGACTCTGTAAAAGTTCCTAGTACATGTACATGTATATTTGTTTTGGTATATTTTGATTACCTGAGCTCTGTTTGTTTATCAGGTTGCCATAACATCACTGACGAGGGGATCCGTTGGCTGAGTGATATGCCAAATCTTAATCTAGATGAGGTATGTTCTTTTGATTTACCTTCCTGATAAAAAATAGAGTTGCATACAATTTTTTCATCTAATATGGAAATTTGTTTGCAATGGTAACAAGTTATGAAGGAGGATGGGACATCTGACTGTGATGAGGTTTTCTGGCACCTCAGACAGAGATATCTCACGTCATACCCCATGCTAGTTTTTCTATCTCGTCTGATCTGTCAGATACCTTTACATGACATTTTGCAGAATTTTTACACTGCGATGTACTCATCCGCTCTTAACGGCTTGAGATTGACAATCTGCATTTTAAATATTCTGTTTTGTCGTTAAGTGTTTTGTTTTGATGTTGTTAGATATCTGATGTTATAGATAAAATATAATCTTAATGTGAAATACAATTTACATTGTCTTCTTTGTAAGGAAGTACTTCATTTTTACGGGGAAGCATTCAAATGTAGCTTTAGTAGTGTAGATGTAATTTTTATTTGAGGCCCCAGACGGGATACTTGTAGTCTTTAGCAAAATTGAATACTTCCTTCAAACTAAAAGGTGCGAGATTTTTTTTGTTACTTGTAACTAAGCAAGATCGGGTTATATTATCTCAGTCTCGGGCTAAGAATTTGTAACATCCCAACCTTGGCTTACGCCTCGGTTGGGATTATGTTACAGAATCTTAGCCCTTGACTGAGATAATCCGATCTCTCTCATTTACAGGTAATATTGTTGCTGCTACTTTTCAGAAACTACTGAAAAGATCACAATCTCATAGGTCTGAAGTTGTGCCGACGTCAAATTAAGGCAAATCATATTTTGCTTGAACATTGTAGGTAAAATCTAATACCCATTTTTCATAGAAAGTACTATATATAAGGATTGATGATTGAATTTGGTATGTTTGATCCTGTTTGTCCTTAATTGTGCATAATCCAATTTTTTAATGCATTGAAAAAATTAAATCTCTACCAGGCATCCATCTGGGATTTTGCATATAAAGTATTTTATCACTGTTTCTAAGTAACTGCTAAAAGTATCATGGAAGACATATAGTATACATGGTCCCTTAGTCCCTGATTGTGTCTGCTTGAATTTTGGGTGAATCATTTTGAAAATTTCCACCAGGCTATCTAAGATTTTGTGTGGGGGACTACATGAAAAGCATATTAGAACTGTTTTTAAAAAAAAATACTAATTTAAGGGATCCATAGTTGTATATGCTTTAATTTCAGATGGATCCCAAAAATAAAATGGGTGCCAGGCAGCTTTCTTCTTTCTTGGATTTTACGTGTCATGTTTAATTTGTTACCACTATTTCTCAGAAACTACTGAAACAGGACCATGATGAAACATGGTTGTATATGATGTCATTTGTGTTTGAATTTTATTGATGTGGATATACAGGCAGCAATGTCTACTTCCACTAATATCCTAGCTATTATATCCTATTATAAATTCAGGTGGATTGTAAAAATAAAATGGCCACCCGGTTAACTTTAATTTGGTATGGATCATTAAATGGATCGTGATGAAACTTGGTATGTGTGATCCAATATGTCCATAAGTGTTCATACTCCAATTAGAGATACCCTCAAAGAACATTTTTCAATCTTGTTTGCATGATCCCCATTCAGATTCCTGTACAGGTGCTTGTTCATAAAGAGAAATGAGAAATGAAGAGTAAAGAACCTACATAGCAACAACATTTGTGACCTTTTACCTTTAGTATTCTGAAATCTCTTATTTCTGTTGCAATTTTTTTTATTCACAGATTACATTAAAAGGCTGTAAACATTTGACCACCAGAAGCATTTTCCGACTGTTTGGTAGGCACAGCCCACCTAACTTTATAGACCTTGCCTCAACATCGTGTGGGTTTTTTCCAAGCCATCTGCCAGGTAAAACTGTAGGGTGGATTTTATAGCAAACATCTTTGGTATGTGGTTTCACTTGTTGTAAAGCTATATCATGTAACATCATGAGCCACATCTGTTTACAGTAATACAGAATGAAGTATTGATATCAACAGTCCCAGCCTGACCAATCTTCCCCGAGCTATAAGTATCCCGTAAAGCTGGCTGGCAGTATCATTATCAATGCAGTCACTTAAGTGACTATGTGTTTGGTCGATACTACAATAATGTGCAGCATTCAGGCTAATCATTTTACTTTAGAACCAGCAAAACAAATTTGAGCGTCAACATTTTATTTTAAACAAGTTCTTCTGAATAACGAAGAGGTCTAGGGTGATGATATTTTTCCAGTAGAATGCTAGTAAGAAGGACTCTCAAATCTGTTCCAGGAATTGACCTTAATCTACTTTCAAGGTCACAGAGGTAAAATTGGTTAAAACATTGAAATGACTTCTCTTGAAAAACCAAAAGGCTTAGGGTGATGACATTTGGCCAGTATCGTGCTGGGATGAAGGGCAGTCAAGTTTGATCAAATGAATGACCTAGCTTATCCTCTTTGATTACTTTGATCAAAATTAACTCAGAGGCCTGATTTGTTTAGACATTTAATTGGATGACCTTGACCAACTTTCATGATGACAGTTATGTTATCATATATAACAACTATTGTACATACACTTACAGCGCAGCCAAATCGACAACTCATACACATTTTACACCTTTTTGTGCATACACTTCACTGGTCATTTGTCTGATGAAGGTGACAGTGTACATATCGTACTAGTTATCGAAATGTCACATAAAAAATTGTATTGGTTGTGTAGAAAGAACTTTTCTTGATAAATAATAACTTTTTCTGAATATCAAGGAAGCCTGGGCAAATGCTATGTGGCTTGTAGCATGCTCGAGATGTCAAGTTTGTTGATAGAATTTTAAAGTCACTGAATACCATATATTGGTACTGTAGCTTGTGTTGACAATTCTCACAAATGAACACCAAAATACAACATCTTAGAAAATAGTTTATTTTGAACTACATTAATCAGTATGATGGTGTTAATTCCAAAAACACTCAATGATTTTACAACTTTTCATAAGCATTGGATCAAGTAAATTCTTTTAAACTAAGTGTTTTATCACAATCTTTTGTAGCAAAGTATATTTCCCAAGTGAACTTAAAGGGTTGCCCTCTGATATCACCGCCCTATGATGACTACAGCAAAAGGACTGCCAGTTCCTTGATAGGTAAGTTTTCAGTAGAATCAAAATGGTTTCAGCAATTAGCTAACCATTGTACTTCCATACCACAGAACATATATCTGGGACACAGGTGATTCCAGGTGATAACAAGGTACCCCAGATAGCCAAGATATGTAGAGTATTCTAGATATCCAAACTGTACATAGAGGTTCCCCAACATGTGGCAGTTATAGTAATCATGTTCATCTAACCTGAGTTAGTTAATTCTTACGTTGTATAAAGACACATGGTTTAACGAGTGATTTTTACAATCTTAAATACAAGATATAGACAAACATGATATAATCAACAATCAAAAGTTTGGGGAAGTTTTTCTCTCACAACATTCAGATATCATATCTAGAAAACCATGTTCCTCTTGGGAACACATTATTCCTGTTTCCGATCGTGGAAAGTATTCATAGCCATGGACTGTATGTTATAACCTTGTAAAACAAATAAGATTTATATTATAATGGTATTTGTTATATTTACAGATAAAACATTAGAATCGTATAACACCTACAAGCTGTTGGTTCTACATGATCCAGAAAGTACACCCAAAACTGGACTTTTCACCAAACAGCCTCTGGATGCTGACCATGTATTGAGTGTCCAGAGGGATTGGGTACTGAACACTGGAGCTGACCAGAAGTCATCCAAGATGTGCTACAATGTGTACGAGTTTTTCACAGGAAAGGTCAGTGTGAACCTCAAGGCTATAAATATAGGAATCAATAGATGTTCATTGAAATAACTGATTACCCTTATTATTCTTCACCTTTAATTCACTGCTCATGTACTTTGATCCCCTGTTAATGAAGAATAATTATTTATTACATTTTTGCCAGTGAAATAGTGGATTCAATCAACTTGACAAAACTGATATCTTTCACACTGTGACAAATATCAATTTCACTTTTTGGTATTGACCAATCATAGCGGTATCTTCTATTTGCTGCATTCAAAGGCAACAATTTTTTGTTCAGATTCAAATGAAGCGACGGTAGAATAAGTTGTTCTTATGGTAAAGGTTTGGTACACACACTTAAGTATTTACATAAATATATAATGAATAACATTTTTATAAGCAACCATACCAGAAAATAGCAGAAAACGTCGGAATTGTATTGAGTATCCCATTCAAAATGGTGCACAGCCTTGTTGTCAAGCGTGACGTCATTGGAATATGGCGCTAATTATTTCGCTTCTGATTCCCGCCCTTTTTAATGCATTACATTTTTCATGTTTTATGCTTAAAAATGTAATAAATAGAAAAAATATATTTCACTCGTGTGGCTAATATTTTGATATTTTTCACTCGTGCTGCGCACTCCTGAAAAATATAAAAATATTAGCCACACTTGTGAAATATATTTGTTATTACTGAAGACACCATTAAATATCCTCTATATATTTGTGTTTATTTCTGGTTGGTTTAATAGTTAGTTAGTGAAAGAGAATGGATATCCATTACTGCACAGTAACCACTAATTCAGTTTCCTTATTTCGAATGATATAGCAAGTTCAGTCAAACAAGGAAGGAAGTAAGGACAATCTTTTTTTCCACATATTACTCTGTACTTGTCTCCCCCCCGGCTGCAAGACAATTTTTTAACCTCCTCCCCTGACAACAACAATGATGGAAACTACTACTCCTCTTCCTCTGAAGAATGCAATGATTACAAGGATGACGAGTACTTGACTTATTTATGTATTTGTTCCTCCTCCACCTTTGTGAGATTTTTACACTGAACCATATACTTGTTCCCTTGCAACAGTTGTGAGAACTTAAAAACAGAACTGACCTTTCACTGTTAACATCATGTCGTACTTTCTCTTCTCCAAGGCTTTGGAAACATTAATCCTTTTAATTCACCAATGACTTTGTACATGTTCTAGGGCTGTGAGAACTGGGTGCTGAGTAACGGCTGTGTCATTGTACTGCCGTTCTCCAACACAGACGACATAACAGCAAAGAGACTAGCATCACAGATCATGTCAGTTATTGGCCAGGTAAATTAATTGAAATTACATTTGAATTTTCCCCTATTGCTAAATTATTGATTTGTTGAATTGAAATTACATGTTAAGTTTCAACTTCTGTTAATCATTGATTCGTTGAATTGAAATTAGATTTTTAGTTTCCACTTTTGCTAAATCATTGATTCGTTGAATGGAAATTAGATTTTGATTTTCCACTTTTGCTAAATCATTGATTCGTTGAATGGAAATTAGATTTTAATTTTCCACCTCTGCTAAATCATTGATTTGTTGAAATGAAATTAGATTTTAATTTTCCACTTTTGCTAAATCATTGATTTGTTGAATGGAAATTAGATTTTAAGTTTCCACCTCTGCTAAATCATTGATTTGTTGAAATGAAATTAGATTTTAATTTTCCACCTCTGCTAAATTATTGATTTGTTGAATGGAAATTAGATTTTATTTTTCCACCTTTGCTAAATCATTGATTCGTTGAATTCAAGTCCTGATGAATTGAGTGGTGAAAACAAAACTATGTTTTTCTTTCCAAACAAGGCATACATCTTTGCTTTGAAACAAATGCAGATTTTTTACAAGTATTGCTAAAGGAGAGTGAGATATGAGACAGCGCTACACAGCGATACAAAGGGGTTCTACTTTGATAAGTTTTATGGAAGTGAATTTTAAAGAGAGATGTTCCATATAAGAGCAGTCTTGCTAGACAGGTTCCAGTGTAGTGATTTGATCAGACTTTTGATTTCAGTTGAGATCAGTATCTCTATACAGGTTTTGCTATATAAGCTTCAGGACAAAGCTGATCTGCTGCAAGGTATCAAAGTATAGCTATATCATATAAACCTGTGATTACCCATAAAGATGATCGTCTCTAAACAAGTTTTGTTATAAAATTGTCATATAAGACAGCTGGTTATATGTCTAAAAGGTAGTCTTTATCTTAATACCATTTATAATGATACATGTAATAGAAACTGCATTGATTGAGGAGAAAGCACATCTTCCCCACTGTCATTTTGTTAGTACAATATATATGGTAGTTAAAAGATACATATTAATTGGTTACACAAACTAAAATTTATTATATCACAGTTATCTTCACTGGAAAACTTACTACAAACTGTAAACTGTAAGGTGGTCGGGTGGTGCAGTGGATAGCACACTTGCCTTTCACCAAGGCGGCCGGGGTTCGATTCCCCGATCGGACGTGAAAAGGTATGGGGTCAAATGCCCGACCACGTGGGTTTTCTCCGGGTACTCCGGTTTCCTCCAACAATAAGATCCCCTCACGATAACTTGTTTCATAATTGTTGTAAAATAAATAAAGTTTATATCTACAAACTGTATTGTATTGGTCTAGCTACATGTGATTTTATACAATGGTAGTCTCTCAAGTTTTACTGTGGGTAGGACGTCATAAGATAGGTGATCACTAAATAAAGTGGTTTCCATTTTATTGTGGTAGTCATGCTGTTACAATGTCCAGTGTGTATTTTCAATTCAAGCATTCAATATTGATCTGTGTTAGTGTGTTCTGGAGAAGTGATTTATTTGAATCATTCTATTGTGAATTCCATTCTTTCTGGAAATATGTATAATTATTAAGATATAATGATAAAATACTATCTTTTTCTTTGGGACACATTTACGTAAGTATTAATGATTTAGATAATCTCAAATGTATACCTTCCTACTGCAGTACCCAGAGAATGCATTTGTTTTGGCTGATCTTTCACCTGTAAGTGATGACAAGGCAACACCAATGCTGGACAAAGTCAAAGAGATCCTGAAAGGCTTAGCAGACTACATAGCCGGCTCACGGACATACAGAAGGTGAGGGTGACAGTGTTACAACACATAGCTAGCTAACAGACATACAGAAGGTGAGGGTGATAGTGTTACATCGCATAGTTTGCTCACAGACATACAGAAGGTGAGGGTGATAGTGTTACCCCACATAGCTAGCTCACAGACATACAGAAGGTGAGAGTGATAGTGTTACACCACATAGCTAGCTCACAGACATACAGAAGGTGAGGGTGATAGTGTTACACCACATAGCTAGCTTACAGACATACAGAAGGTGAGGGTGATAGTGTTACGTATCACATAGCTAGTTCAAAGACATACAGAAGGTGAGGGTGATAATATTACACCTCGTAGCTAGCTAACAGACATACATAAGGTGAGGGTTATAGTGTTACACCACATAGCTAGCTTACAGAAGGTGAGGGTGATAGTGTTACGTATCACATAGCTAGTTCACAGACATACAGAAGGTGAGGGTTATAGTGTTACACCACATAGCTAGCTTACAGAAGGTGAGGGTGATAGTGTTAGACGACATAGCTAGCTTACAGACATACAGAAGGGGAGGGTGATAGTGTTACATCACATAGTTTGCTCACAGACATACAGAAGGTGAGGGTGATAGTGTTACATCACATAGTTTGCTCACAGACATACAGAAGGTGAGGGTGATAGTGTTACATCACATAGCCGGCTCACGAACATACAGAAGGTGAGGGTGATAATATTACACCTCATAGCTAGCTAACAGACATACATAAGGTGAGGGTGATAGTGTTACACCACATAGCTGGCTCACGGACATACAGAAGGTGAGGGTGATCATAGCTAGCTTACAGACATACTGAAGGTGAGGGTGATAGTGTTACATCACATAGCTAGCTTACAGACATACGGAAGGTGATAGTGTTACATGTACACCACATAGGTAGCTCACAGACATACAAAAGGTGAGGGTGATAGTGTTACATCGCATAGCTAGCTCACAGACATACAGAATGTGAGGGTGATAGTGTTACACCACATAGCTAGCTCACAGACATACAGAAGGTGTGGGTGATAGTGTTACACCTCATAGCTAGCTCACAGACATACAGAAGGTGAGGGTGATAATATTACATCACATAGCTAGCTAACAGATATAGCTATTCCACTATTAATATTCCATTGGCTGACAAAAGTTTGTGATAACAGTAACGATATTGCTGAGACATAGTGGAGGGAAATTCATTGTTTTTACTTTTTCCGTCAGTTTGTCAATACAGCATCGTTATTAGAATTTGCATTTACTGTCATTATTTCTCTTAATACTAAAAGTCTGACATTTATCAATCTTCAAATATGTATACATCTTGATTACTAAACCAATATATCAAATATTGGTCACTCTAACTTATGTATAAGTCTGCTTCTCTGACTTTTGTTACACTCTGCGTTTGACTCCATTAATATTATACTCAGTAGACATTCAATATTCATCAAATTTTGTAATGGACAGATCTTCAGTGCAATACTAATGCATCAAATGTAGGTCACTGTCTTGTTCTTATAAAACAGAAACACTTATTTATAAATGTCAAGAATATATTCAAGATTTTCTTTCATTGAATTGCAGTCACTTTCACTCACTCACGGTCGTTGATCTGGTGACTTCAGATATTTTTATTTTTTTTATTAAACTTTATGCAAACAAGTATGAGAATAACTGGGAAGAGTTAATATATGAAGGTTTCAAGGTCAAGCCCAAGATTGTTGTTGCTTTTTATAGAAATTCATCAACTCATTCAGTGTGATCACTAGAGAAAGTTAATTTTGTAACAGATTTAATATTTAAATATTTAAAACTTAATACAAATGTCAAGACTAACATGGCAGCAAGGATGTATTACAGATATATTTTAGTTTTTTTTTGTTTTTTTTTATATTTAGTCAAGAAGATAAGTGGGTTTTAACAGAACACAACTTTGATGACCAAATACAGATGGGATTGAATCAGAGCCTCTTTGACAGCCTGACTCAGCTGTTGGTCAGCCATCAGGAACTCCTATGTACTGTCAGCCTGGTAAGTAATCCTTTGTACCGATGCACCAAACTGGCCTTACAATGTACCCAAGGGTCAAAATGTGGCTATAAAATGTAACGTGCCAAGAGGGCAGCCATCTAGCTGCTGACTACAATCAATGTTGTTTAAGTAATGAACCAAGGATAAACCACATCACTGGACAACCTTGGGACATGCTCAATAGTTGTAACATGGAGTTGCACACTGGCTAATTTGGTGTCTTCTATCACTTAGAATTTGTTGTTTATACCTATTGTTTTAGAACATTATGTAATTTTCAAAATAAACTCTGTCTGCATGAAGTAATTGGGCATCTGTTACAAAAGGAGCAGTCTACTTTCAAAATTTTTATTTTTTACACCAAATCATCACTAAATGATGTTATATGCAGTGTATATAAGGTAAAACTTGGTACTAACAACCTACACTGAAACCAATTCAAGTCATTAGTTCCCTGTAGTAAAACAAAACATGTTTAATAAAAACCTAGTGAACGTAAGTTATTAGTTCTTCACAGCAAAAATATGTTAAAATGAACCCCAGGGGACATCAGTAATTCATTCTCTACAGTTAAATTTGTTTAAAGCAAACCTTAGTTGAACCTATAAAAAATAGTTCTCTTCAGTAAAACAAACTTTAAAATGAATGTCAGGAAATCTAAATTATTTATAGTTCACTATTTTTAGAATTGAATACAGAGTTTGATGTTTCTGTTCGTTAGCCTGGAAATTAACATTTCTTCATTATCAAAATAAATTCAAAGTGTGATTGCGTAACTTCCAAAAAATGTTCGTTATCATTATTTATAATTCTTCTGTTTTAGGCAAAAGACCAAGAACATTCGTTCCTGAAAACAGCGACTGAACATTTAGGGGTTGTCTTTCCTTGGCATCAAGTGCAGATGCTCTCTCTGACAATAAGGGCCTTTGATGTAATATTGAAGACAGGAAAGAATATGCCGCTTGTTTCTTCTTTGTCTGACATAAAGAAAGCTTGTCCTGTTGACATAAAGTTCACCTTTAACCCCCGCTCAGGCTACAGTGAGATAGGCATGGCGCTAGAGGTCCTCCATGACAAGGTATGTGGTATTTTATCAAGTTTATCCCTAGAGATACTACATCCCTGCTGACCTGTCAGTGTTCCACTTTATACTGGGAAATGTTTGCCTAGTCAAACTTTCACCCCTCTTCCGTAAAATCTGAATCTGCCTTTCACATTTATTTACTATGTAAATTATGTTGTTGACTTATGTTCCCTGTATTGATAAGTTTGCACAGATTCCAGAGGGCGAAACAAAGGTGAAAGGTATCAAGTTCTAGTATCTACTCGATCATTGACTCTATAATTTAGAGTGGCCAGATCGTAAGTTTATATTTACCTAAAATATCACTGGCTAGTACTCAACACAGTCTTTCTTGACAGCAATAATTCAACAATATAACGTACCTCAGTGAGACCTGAGCTAAATTAAGGTCGTATAAAAGAAAACCATCTAAAAGTATCTAAGACCTATAAATCTATATAATTTTATAATTATTATGCAATTATATGAAAGTTTGTATGATTGTAAAATGATAGTGTCTTATTATTCTTGCTGTCACAGATAAGTTACTTACAATATTAAATACTTATTTTTCTTAGATAAAGGAGGTGAGGTGGGTTTTTTTTATAAATTGAATAATCAGAAAATCTGGTATGTTACAGGGTGCCGTTGTGTACTTCCCAAATATGAGCAGGAAGCCAGCTGTGCAGAATATTGAAAGTTTGGTGAACCTAGTCAGGCTGGGGGGTATTATGCCCCATCGAGTGGACATACCTGGGCTCGGGCCAGAAACCCCCTGCTGGAGGAGGGACGACTTTAAAGCCTTCTACAAAAACCTCTCAGATGTATGTTGTACATGTATTGTGTAAAGTTATATCAAGGATTTGTACAATAACCTTAGTAATGTCATTTTCTATAACTGTTGGATATATTTTAAATCAGTTAATTTTCTAAAAAAAATATCATTTTCAAAAGATAAAGACTATGCTTGTGAGAATTTAAATAATTATGTAAATACACAATAGCAAGAATAATCATTTATAGTATATTGAATTTAAACAAAACAGCTTGGATAAACAATTAATTTTATTGATAAGGAGTATTCAAATTTATTTATATTTTTGTCATACTTGTGTATATCTATAGGAGCAGATCAACCTATTTCTAGACGTCCTGACAGAGCAGGGTTTGGTGTTTAGGTTCCCATGTTCCCTCAAGGACCCAAAGTTTAAAGACACACTTGTCTATGTGATGTCTGAGGACCTCCCTAAAGATCCTGATACACCAGTAGTAAGTACTGAATGCTAATTACCTTCCTGAGAATCTAGACTGACATATGAAAAATACTATTGTAGTACCCTCCCCTAACAACCAGATATATTGGTGTAAAGTAAGGAATTGTAATTGCCTCCCCTAATTATCCAGATTGAAATGATCTCCCCTGGTTATGAAGATATACTTGTGGTAGTTTGTGAAGTGTAATTATCTCCCCTGATAATCAAATTATACTTGTGGTAGTTAGTGAAGTATAATTATTTCCCCTGATAATCAAGATATACTTGTGGTAGTTAGTGAAGTGTTATTATCTCCCCTGATATTCAAGTCATACTTGTGGTAGTTAGTGAAGTGTAATTATCTCCCCTGATAATCAAGATATACTGGGGCACATTCACGTATCTGGTTGAAACGGTTGAACTGATTGAACCTGTAAAGAAAACGACAGGCACAGATCTGAACCGAGGCTGACCTCAGGAAAATTTGGCACGTGTGGATTGAGGGGTTCAGACGTAGCTGACCAAAACTAAAATGCTGACTATATTGCCAATTTTTGTTATTTCTTTTCTAAAACAATTTCAAGTCACATGTAGTTTTTAAGATACATTATGTAATTCATTGGACGGATGAAAGAAGGGCATAATATTATTGATACATTGTTTTTTATTCTCCAAAACTGTGTATTTTTAGCTCTGCTTATAGAACGGTCCAAGTGCGTTCGTTTATCATGGAATATTTCTGCACCACATGAACCATTTCAACCGGGATATACGGTAGTAATGGTACATTTGGTCTAGAAAATTAGAGAGTTAGTTATGATTGTATTTCCATCTTTAATACAGCACTTTAGTCAACTGAAATAGTACTATAAACAATGTGTATAACCCTAAGATAATTGCTCTAAAATATGTTGTGGGTTTTTTTTCAAATCTTTTAGGATGAAATTTGGCTACCAGACTTACAAACTGGATTTGTACAGAGAGATGCTTATCTCACCTTCCCTTGTCTGCCCCATTGGCTATTCCCCTGCTTTCTCAGGTAAGGTATTACTTAGTATCTTAGATTTGCCTTTAAGTTCAGTTTTCTCAAGAAAGGTATCTCACTTAAATCTCTGATTTCCAGAAATTTATGATAAAGGAAGAGAATGCATAGACATAGTGATATTTATTTCAATTTATTTTTTAGGTTTTTTGTATATGCAATACGACACAATTGCTCTTACTCATATCGGCCCTCGCCATGCACATCACACCCCAAAACCTGTATCAGCCCGCAAGACCTGTATCACACTCCTTTTGGAAAATTTTCGTTTTTCAATACTTCAAAAGAAAAATAGATCATAAGAAATTTTTATCCGTATTTTATTAGTAAGGATATGTAATAAACAGAATAAAATATGCCTTTTTCCATCTCACACCCCGTATCAACCCTTGACCAATATCAGGTTGATGCTGGGTGTGAGATGGAAAAAGACATGCATTTATCTCTATGGAATTCCAAGAAAAACATAAATATTACCACTATAATACAGACTCAAGTCTTTCTTCTGTCATCATTTCAGAAAGTTACAGGAGACCTCCCAGATTGTGTTGATGTGGAAGTCTGGACTCCTCATGCGTCAGGGCCCTGTCATGGTCCTGGTGGAACTCCTTACTAACGAGATCAGTCAAGGTAAGTGTCCAGGTAGAACTCCTCATTAACGAGATAAATCAGGGTAAGTGTACTGGTGTAACTCCTCACTAATGAGATCAATCAGGTTAAGTGTACAGGTGCAACTCCTTACTAACGAGATCAGTCAAGGTAAGTGTCCAGGTAGAACTCCTCATTAACGAGATAAAGCAGGGTAAGTGTACTGGTGTAACTCCTCACTAACGTGATCAATCAAGATAAGTGTATAGGTGTAACTCCGCACTAATGAGACCAATCAAGGAAAGTGTATAGGTGGAACTCCACGCTAATGAGATCAATCAAGGTAAGTATACAGGTGTAACTCCACACTAATGGGATCAATCAAGGTAAGTGTACAGGCGCAACTCCTTACTAACAAGATCAATCAGGGTAAGTGTCTAGGTGTAACTCTACACTAATGAGATCAATCAAGGTAAGTGAACAGGTGTAACTCCTCACTAATGGGATCAATCAAGGTAAGTGTACAGGCGCAACTCCTTACTAACAAGATCAATCAGGGTAAGTGTATAGGGGGAACTCCACACTAATGAGATCAATAAAGGTAAGTGTACAGGTGTAACTCCGCACTAATGAGACCAATCAAGGAAAGTGTATAGGTGGAACTCCACACTAATGAGATTAATCAAGGTAAGTGTATAGGTGTAAATCCACACTTATGAGATCAATCAAGGTCTTACTAACGAGATCAGTCAAGGTAAGTGTCCAGGTAGACCTCCTCATTAACGAGATAAATCAGTGTAAGTGTACTGGTGTAACTCCTCACTAATGAGATCCATCAAGGTAAGTGTATAGGTGTAACTCCGCACTAATGAGACCAATCAAGGAAAGTGTATAGGTGGAACTCCAAACTAATGAGATCAATCAAGGTAAGTTGGTGTAACTCCTCACTAATGAGATCCATCAAGGTAAGTGTACAGGTGCAAGTCCTTACTAACAAGATCAATCAGGGTAAGTGTCTAGGTGTAACTCCTCACTAATGGGATCAATCAAGGTAAGTGTACAGGTGTAACTCCTCACTAATGAGAGCAATCAGGGTAAGTGTACAGGTGCAACTCCTTACTAACGAGATCAGTCAAGGTAAGTGTCCAGGTAGAACTCCTCATTAACGAGATAAAGCAGGGTAAGTGTACTGGTGTAACTCCTCACTAACGTGATCAATCAAGATAAGTGTATAGGTGTAACTCCACACTAATGAGTTCAATCAGGGTAAGTGTATAGGAGGAACTCCACACTAATGAGATTAATCAAGGTAAGTGTATAGGTGTAAATCCACACTTATGAGATCAATCAAGGTCTTACTAACGAGATCAGTCAAGGTAAGTGTCCAGGTAGAACTCCTCATTAACGAGATAAATCAGGGTAAGTGCACTGGTGTAACTCCTCACTAATGAGAGCAATCAGGGTAAGTGTACAGGGGTAACTCCACACTAATGAGATCAATCAAGGTAAGTGTACAGGTGTAACTCCTCACTAACGTGATCAATCAAGGTAAGTGTATAGGTGGAACTCCACACTAATGAGATCAATCAAGGTAAGTGTAGAGGTGCAACTCCTTACTAACGAGATCAATCAGGGTAAGTGTCCAGGTGCAACTCCTCACTGCCGAGATCAATCAGGGTAAGTGTACAGGTGTAACTCCACACTAATGAGATCAATCAGGGTAAGTGTACAGGTGTAACTCCTCACTAATGAGATCAATCAGGGTAAGTGTATAGGTGTAAATCCACACTTATGAGATCAATCAAGGTAAGTGTATAGGTGTAACTCCACACTAATGAGACCAATCAAGGTAAGTGTATAGGTGTAAATCCACACTTATGAGATCAATCAAGGTAAGTGTATAGGTGTAACTCCACACTAATGAGATCAATCAAGGTAAGTGTACAGGTGTAACTCCTCACTAATGAGATCAATCAAGGTAAGTGTACAGGTGTAACTCCACACTAACAAGATCAATCAAGGTAAGTGTACAGGTGTAGCTCCTCACTAATGAGATCAATCAAGGTAAGTGTACAGGTGTAACTCCTCACTAATGAGATCAATCAAGGTAAGTGTACAGGTGTAACTCCACACTAATGAGATCAATCAGGGTAAGTGTACAGGTGTAACTCCACACTAATGAGATCAATCAAGGTAAGTGTACAGGTGTAACTCCACACTAATGAGATCAATCAGGGTAAGTGTATAGGTGTAACTCCTCACTTATGAGATCAATCAAGGTAAGTGTACAGGTGTAACTCCACACTTATGAGATCAATCAAGGTAAGTGTACAGGTGTAACTCCTCACTGATGAGGTCACGTATGGATAGATTATATACTAAGGCTTTGAGTGGTCGGGGACAAATGGGAGTTTAAGGAACAACAGGGTATTCAAGCAATGGCAGTTTGAGTAATCAGAGGTGAATTGATAAAGAATAAATAAGAACATGTTCTGGACAAAGCGAAACATTTGAGTAATGCGAGCCAGGTAAGTGGGGTTTCACTGTAATTGTCGAGATAAGAGTACAGGTGAATTTCCTCACTTACGAGGTCTGTCAAGGTAAAAGTTACAGGATGATGGATATTTCTTATGCTTCATGTATTTTAAAAGTGTAATATAAATGGAAAGTATTAATATACAATTTTTATAGTACATGTGCACACGTACCTACACACAAATACCACCCTTTACCATAGCTAGCATGTTTTGTGGTAGGTTGAGTCATTGTATGATTGTAATGTTCGTTATATATATCAGTATGTACAATATTTTACAGATCTACCAGCCATTGTGATAAGTGCCCGGGTGGCCGACTCTAAATTGTTTGATACTCTATTCATCACTTTCAACAACGTCAAGACAATTTTGGAAGCCATGATGCACTCAAGAAGAGTATTTGCTGTGGTAAGCAGAACCTATAGAATATTGAAAACGCATGTTCATATTACAAATAACAGATGTTTGCAGAAAAACAATTCGGCTATCAGTTAGATGTCTTCAGTGTACTTCTATATATCAGCATACCTTCTTTGGTTTGGTTCTGACATGAGTGAACTGTTTGGTTAAAAAAAGAAATCAAATCTGGTGGAGGACTATGGACTGTTTAGCAATGCCTTGCCTTTTTACTATTCATTTGCGAAGATATTGTCATGAAAAGAGTATAGGGGATTTTATTTTTTTTAGATTTTTCTGATCGAAATTTCGAGCTTAACCGAATTTGTTACACACACTGTACAAGGCTCAAAGTACATAGAAATTGACTCTGTGTGGAGTTTAATGCATAACATTATACATTGTTATTTAATCCTGTACACTGCTTGCACAGAAAACGATTTGCTGTAAGATCTGTAACCCGACCAAAAACAGGAGGCATGCCCTGAGTGCTGAACACAACTGTTGTCATGTGAAGGAGATGGATGTCAAAGTGAGCGAGAACGTGATCAAGTGTAGAAAAAAAGAAAAGGAAGTCATGATCACCAAACAGGAGTTTGTTGGCTCTGGTAGGCTTTCTTCTACAAGTTCAGAAATAATCACAGAATTATTAACTGCTACAGATTCTGAAATTACAAGTTCACAATAGTATTAGGGCCCCGTATCGGAGATAAGGGTGCCCTATAGTAATCACTCTGTCTGTCTGTCTGTCTGTCTGTCTGTCCACAAATTCTGTTCCTTGCTGATAACTTTGGTATTTATAGACCGATGTACATGAAACTTGGTCAAGATGTTCAGTTCACAAAAATACCCATTAAGGGTCAAAAGTCAAGGTCAAAAGTCAAGATCATTAGGTTCAAAGGTCAAGGTCAAATTTTACATCTTTTCACTGATGAACATTTTGTTATGATATTTTGAAACAAAGTTGATCAGAATTAAACAAGGAGTCAACTGACCAAAGGTCAAGGTCAAGGTCATTGGGTCAGGGGTCAAGGTCAAATTTTGTAGCTTTTCACTAATGAACATTTCGCTATGACATTATGAAGCAAAGTTGTTTGGAATTAAACAAAGAGACACTGAGGTAAAAAGCCGATGTCAAAGGTCAAGGTCATTAGATTCAAAGGTCAAGGTCAAATTTGCATCTTTTCACTGATGAACATTTTGTCATGACATGATGAAGCAAAGTTGATCAGAATTAAACAAGGAGTCAACTGACCAAAGGTCAAGGTCATTGGGTCAAAAGTCAAGGTTAAATTTTGTACCTTTTCCCTGATGAACATTTTGTTATGACATTATGCAACTGACCTCAGGTCCAGGTTACGGGCTCCAAAGGGTCAAGGTCAAGTTTTGTATTTTTCACTGATGAACATTTTGTTATGATATAAAGAAGCAAAGTTGGTTGGAATTAAAGAATAAGTCAACTGACCAAAGTTCAGGGTCACTGGGTTAATGGTCAAGGTCATTTGGGTCCAAAGGTCAAAGACAAAGTGGATCTCTGACTTTGACCCTGGCTCTTGATGGAGGAGGTATATGAGGTCAATTAAAACAAATCAAAGCTAACAAATGAGTATTGCACCGGTATTAATATTTCTGTTAGCCCAGCAAATATGGAGGTGGAAGGAAACAAGACTCACATCATAGTACATGTAAAATGTATATTTTTTCCTCCTTGCGATTCTTTTTGAAGTCCAAATGTCAAACGTCAAGTTCAGCTATATGGGCAGATTGCTTCTTGATGATTATGGGAGATATATTGCCACAAGACGGGGCCCTTACTGACCTGTCAGTGTTCTAGTTGAATATTTATGAGTTTATCTTAAGGGTATATGTGACGTTCCTGAGACAAAGAATTCACTAGGTAGAGTTTTGCTAGAAGAAGTCAGTCATGTTACCCTTTATGGATAGTGAAACGGATCTGGTGAATCAGTTGATGACACCTTTAAAAGTTACACACAACAGTATGACACTTACATGTGGGTAATTCTAAATAGTTAATGCTATCAGGAAGGGAGACAACTCTAACACAAATTACTTTTTAAATGTGAAAGGGAGCTAATATATCCCTATACATATTAAACAAGGAAATGGGTTGAGGAATATGATCGTTGGAAAATGTATTGGGAAAGGCATGACTTTTAAATGCTTCATTGACCTATTCTAGCATCTTGAAAATTGATAAGTTTTGTCCACATACCAAGTACAATAAAAGATTACCAATAGGAAACTTGTAAATTTGGTCTGCAGTAGGCAACCAGGTGATATGTGGGAACGAAGATTGGGAACTTTTGCCAAACTTATAAGAATTCAATCCTTGTATGATATCGTAATCAAATTGCCAGTGGAATGTTATATTTCTAAAAGATATTTCTTATTTAAATGAAGCAGTTTTTCATCTTAAGACTGAACCAAAAATGTTGTTTTTGCAAAAATGTTGTTTTTAGAACTTCAAAATACGCTTTCATATTTCTTGTTATCAGAATCTTGAATCACTGTTTCTCAGGAAGGACAGATGAAGAAGAGCCACACTCATTATTAGTGTTCCTTTCTTGCAAAAGATGAATGAGTTGTGTCTATCTTTTGACTAATGAGTTGTGTCTATCTTTTGCCTACAGATCTGACTCCCCAGGAGCATGTCCCCAACCACTGTGATATGACGCTGTTGACACCCGCTGATAACAACACAATGTCCATGTCGGCCCGATGTTACTTATGTAACAACTGTAGTCTCAGGGGAATGAACTGCAAGAACAATCTACGTAATGGCATCAGTAGCAAGTAAGTTATTTTTATTTCACTTTAACAGTATCCAGTTAGGCAAACACCATAAATGACCCTTGTGATGAGACATTGAAATTGTTGATGCTCAAACCATGTTCAATTTGGTAATAGAATTTAATTATAATTTACATTGAGGCATTTACGCCTACCGTAAAGGAATCAACTTGCAGGCGTCATATCCCTATCGGCTGGTTTGCCTGACGTCTCAGATGTTCTTAGTAAGTAGGTCAGTTTGTTATAGGGACCTGATCAATTCAAAGTTGAGGTATGCAAAATAGTGAGCCGTTACTGATCAATTTAGAAAACCAGAAATCTATGAGTTTTCAGACTGATCTTGGAAGTGATTTCAACTTTATACATTAAAAACCATTTCTGTCTGAGATAAACTTTTTAATTGTCTAAACATCTGAATCACTAGATAATAACAGGTTTTTCATTGTTAAAATTGAACCACTATTTTTTTTAAATTTAAATTTCAGACATTGTAGCTGTAACAATGAGCTAAAGCTTTGTGCATACTGTGGTGTGTGTAAAGATTGTCTACAAACACTGTCGGTAAGTTACCTAGTACTTAGTATTGATACAGATTAATGTAAACTAAGGCTGTGTGTGTACTGTGGTGTGTGTAAAGATTGTCTACAAACACTGTCGGTAAGTTACCTAGTACTTAGTATTGATACAGATTAATGTAAACTAAAGCTGTGTGTGTACTGTGGTGTGTGTAAAGATTGTCTACAAACACTGTCGGTAAGTTACCTAGTACTTAGTATTGATACAGATTAATGTAAACTAAAGCTGTGTGTGTACTGTGGTGTGTGTAGAGATTGTCTTTGAATTTGATAGAATTTATTTTTTTTAAACTATTAAGAAAACATCTTTTAAGGTTACAATTTATAAATGAATTGAATTTTCATTTGAAATATTTAAAAGTTTGAAAAAACATTAACTTACAATTGATATTAATTCCAATTTTAAACTTGGTTTGAAAATATTTGTTCTGCATTTAATATTTTATTATAAAAGTTTAAAGGGATTTTTGGAAGGCAAATTAGCTTTATTTTTTTTTAAAGATTTTGCATTCAGCACACTTTCCTGAAAAAAGTATTACTGGGTAGGCCTAGACCTAGACCAACATAATTTTTACCAAGAATACCTCTTCGGTAGTATTATTTACTCCAAGCTTCAGATACAGTTTGGATCTTAGTTAATATGGTTTAGCAACTTTTAGCTCATCGGGTCCGAAGGACCAAGGTGGGCTTATGCCATACTGTGGTTTCTGTCGTTCGTACGTCAACAATTTCTTCAAACAACTTCTTCTTCTTAACCACTGATTGGAATTTAACTAAATTTGACTGGATGTATCCCTAGGTGGTGATGATTCAAAATTGTACAAATGGTGGGGCTGACCTCCAGGGGGCTGAGGGGCGGGGCCAAAAGGAGGCAATTTGGCTATATTGCTTTAAATGACTTCTTCTCTGGAACAAAGAGATGGATATCAACCATATTTGACTGGAAGCATCCCTAGTTAATTGGGATTCAAAAGTGTACAAATCGTGGAGCTGACCCCTCAGGTGGCTGAGGGGCGGGGCTAAAAGGGGATAATTTGGCTATGCTGCTATAAATGACTTCTTCTGGAGAACTTTACACTGGATATCAATCATATTTGGTCAAAAGTATTCATGGGAGGCAGGGATTCAAAATTGTACAAATGGTGGGGCTGACCCCCCCAGGGGGCTGAGGGAGGGGCCAAAAAGGGGGCAATTTGGCTTTATTGCTTTAAGCGACTTCTTCTCTGGAACTATGAGATGGATATCAACCATATTTGACTGGCAGCATCCCGAGGAAGTGGGGATTCAAAATTGTACAAATGGTGTGGCTGACCTTCCAGGGGGCTGAGGGGCGGGGCTAAAAGGGGGCAATTTGGCTTTATTGCTTTAAGCGACTTCTTCTCTGGAACTAAGAGATGGATATCAACCATATTTGACTGGAAGCATCCCGAGGTGGTGGGGATTTAAAATTGTACAAATGGTGGGGCTGACCCCCAGGGGGCTGAGGGGCGGGGCATAAAGAGGGCAATTTGGCTATATTGCTACAAACGACTTCTTCTGTAGAACTATGTACTGGATATCAATCATAATTAATCAAAAGCATTCATGGGAGGCAGGGATTCAAAATTGTACAAATGGTGGGGCCGGCCCCCCCAGGGGGCTGAGGGGCGGCCAAAATAAGTTTTATTACTTGAAAATGGTTGAGATCCCCACCATATAACCATATATACAATTGCTGAGTATAAAGAGAAGAATGCACATTTGCTTCCAGGATGGCCCTAGGGTCTGGCCCCACCCTTGGAGACATAGTCCCTGGGCCATAACTTTAAAACGGTTGAGATCCCCACCCCAAAACTATATATACAAATGCTGGGCATAAAGAGACGAATGCAGTCATGATATTAGAATAGACCCTCGGGTCTGACCAAACCCCTAGGGACCTAGTTTCTTAGTCACAGCTTGAAAACAGTTGAGATCACCACCCTATAACTATATATACAATTGCTGTGTATAAAGAGATAAATGTACATATGCTTCCAGGATGGCCTTTGGGACTATCCTGACCTTGGATACTTAACCTCAAAATGGTTTAGATCCCCACCCCAAAACTATATATACAATTGTTGCATGGCATAAAGAGAGGAATGCAGTCATGATATTAGAATTGACCCCAGGGTCTGCCCCACCCTTGCAGACTTAACCCCTGGGTCATAACTTTGAAAGGGTTGAGATCCCCACCCCAAAACTATATATACAAATGCTGGGCAAAAAGAGACAAATGCAGTCATGATATTATAATTGATCCTGGGGTCTAGCCAAAACCCTAGGGACCTAGTTTCTGAGTCACAGCTTGGAAACAGTTGAGATCCCCACTCCATAACCATACGTAAAATTGCTGGGCATAAAAAATATAATACAGATATGCTACAAGGATTTGCCTTCGGGTTTGGCAAATTCCCTTGGATCTCATTTGGAGAATATTTTGCCGTGATTGCTTAGATATCCAGGTGAGCGATACAGGCCCTCTGGGCCTCTTGTTTATTTGATTTTAGTGAAAAAGGAACTAACAACTGATTATTCTTACTTCAGAATGCCCATGCCACAGTTCAACCCTGCTTCCGTGGCAAACTTTCAAATTTAGCAACTGTGAAGCGGGCTGGAAGCAACCTAAGTTTCTCCACAGAGAATGGTAGCTACACCTTCCCTGACCCGCTCAACCTGCTGCATTGTAACCGCCTGGGTATCTGCATGAACCGTGGGTGTCACTATACCGTCACCATCACTAGGTCAGTTGTGAGTTTATTTCTCTAGGTAAATGGCGACTAAAGTTTCACTATAATCACTCAGGTAAATAAATTTACCTCAATTTTTTGAAAATAAATTGTGACCTCAAGCCACTTTAATTTATACTGAAACTAATATCACTGATGAGTATTGTCAGAATTATGCTAACTAAAAACTGTTAAATTTAATTTAAACAATGTCAAATATTAGACTCACTTAATGTTTTGAAACATGTAATCGCATCACTTTACACTAAGGACTTTGTTGATGTTTGTAGTCCTAACCATAGACTGGAATACATGACAGGAGAAGGCAAGATCCATGTGGATGGTGAACAGAAGGATGTGGATACAAAAGACAAATTGGATTGTAAAATGAATGACATTTTGGACTTTGAACTTGATGTGGTTGAGGTTAGTTCCACATTTTGCTTATATTTATTATGTTGGTAAATCGATTGTAGATTTGTTTTATTATTATTTATGTGGAAGATTATTTAGAATCCTACAGTGAACTTATCAAGACAAAGATAAAACCAGAAATATTAGTACTCTAGACACTAATTTTATTGTATACTGTAAATAAACTTATTTTAGCATTATAATATTAGAGCAATATCATGTTTTAACAGATTAGCCCACTGATGAATTGACGCACCCACAAAACATGTAATAAAGGACAACATACATTTACTTCAGTTGGAGCATTGTTAATCTAGTGCAATGGTTAAAATGCAAAAAACTCCAAAATAACTACCACTTAAATAATATTATATACATTTACAGAAAATCACCAAGGACTGCTTTGATTATGAATGTAGCAATGTCCTTCATCAATGACATCGTGTTGTAAACTGAATGGCCCAGAGTTTTGGTTTTTGGCCAGGAGTTACCTGGAGAGAATGCTATAAAATTTCCTCATGTAAAATGACCTACTTTCAAGTTCATGGGATTAGAAGTTTTAAAAACTTTAGACGAACTTATATTAAGAACCGTGATATGGTTGTGTTGAGGTCAAAGATCAACTTTGAGAAGTTCCTTTGGTCAAAGGTTAACAGAAACAGTTATAGATGAAAGCATTAGAAACCGTCTTTACAAGTTCTGAAAGGCCTAGCATCACATTTGGTGGCTGGTACGTTCCTGAGGTAAAGATAGTTTTATTTTTTTCTTCAAATAAAGAGAAATTAATCAATAAAAAGTTGTTAGTTCTAGAGCCATATTGCTTGGACTTGTTATGGGGACAATTCATAGGTATCACTTTCTTACATATAATTTTGAGGTCAAAGGTCAACTTTGAGAGCCGGCCAAAGACAAAGGTCATCAGAGGCTATTAGTAGGTAATAAGCATTAGATATCCTTTGTTCAGACACTCTATGGGTCATGGTAATTGGCCAGTAGCTACCTGGGTTAAAGAACTGGTAAAGCTTCTGCAAACAGATGACCTTGACCTACTTCTGATGTCGCCAGCATTTTTAGCTCACCTGATCCAAAGGACTGATGAGCTTATGTTATGGCGCGGCGTCCGTCGTTCATCTGTTAACTTTTCCTTTAAAATGCTACTAGTCCTGAACGGCCAGTAGATTTTGACTAAATGTGGTCTGGAGCATCCTCATACTGAAATTTGTGATTTAAACCTTTAAAATCCTTTTTTTTCTGTACAATTGGAGGGATTTTATCAGATTTGGCCTGGAGCATCCTTGGGCAAAGGGGACCAAATTTTGTAAAAACAGAGGATGTGGCCCATCTTGGTGCAGTGGGGCAGGCCAAATAGGGGAATTTGAGGGGTACACCTTTAAAATCCTTCTTCTTCTGTACCATTGGAGGGATTTTATCAAAATTTGGCCTGGAGCATCCTTAAGCAAAGGGGACTAAATTTTGTATAAACGTTGGGTGTGGCCCCTCTAGGTGCAGAGGGGCGGGGCTCAATAGGGGAATTTGATGTTTAAATCTTTAGTATCCTTCTCCTTCAGTTTGATTCGAGGAATTTTAACCATTTTGTGTACAGCATCCTTGGGCAAAGGGGACTTAATTTTGTACATTTATTGATGGTGTGTCCCGTCTTGGGGAAGAAGGGCATGGCCTAATAGGGGAATTTAAGATACACCTTTTCATGGTTGCTTTATTATCCAGGTAAGCATTACAGGCCCTCTGGGCCTCTTGTTATAATGACAAAATAAAAATAAACATGTTCAGGCATTCTCTCTTTTCCATGCCTATTGTTAGTGTGGCACAAGAAAATTAATATGTGTGCATGTTTAAAAATGTATTGGTGATACATCAATTTCACAATCAACAATAACAAGTGAAACATAGAGGAGATATTCAGCAATCACAGATTGTTGTAACGTAGGACGAACAGCGGGATTAATCGTACCACGAACCAACAAATAACAAACATCAATATTCACAATTAATGAAATATTATGTACAGTTACCACAATAATGACAATATACAATAAAGACGATATCTACAAAGCTCACTCTCAAACACACTCCTCGCATACATAGTACTAGAATAATTACACAAGGTAACTACAGTCTCTGTCACCACTCCACCAAGACTCAGTAGTACAGCAAATATCCACACAGGTTTCCAAATATATATGGCGAATGTTCACACAGGTTTCCAAAATATATATGAGAGACTCTATGGAATGTCCACACAGGATTAGATGTATCCAGACAGGATTAAGGCAAATGTCCACAAAGGACTCTGTATAAAAACCATGCAGGATTCGTTTCCACAAAGGAAAGATGTACACCTATTGTCCACACAGGACATTCATATGGTGACCAAGTCTAGTGCTTCTTCAGTCTGAGGTTTGTTCCTGCTATCCCAACATGCTTTGCTGCCAAATAAAGGTGACAGTTATAAGTCCTAACATACCTAACTATAACAAAATACATATGTCACTAACACACACGACATTAGATAATTGTAATTAAATACAAATAAAAATAGCCAAGCACAGTTCTAATCATAATAATTATCGGGTATAAGCTGCCTTTAACATCGATAATTACTAGAAAATAGAAAAATCTATAGTTATAAGTGTAACAAAATCTATAGTTATGGTCTGCATGAGCTTTCATACATTTTCATTTATACACCCGTCAAATTTGACAGGAGTATTATAGTATGGCATTGTCCGTCCGTCCATCCGTTCGGCGTAAACTTTTGTTTGTCCGGCAATCTCCTCCTACATTTTTCACCGGATCTCTTTGAAACTTGGTATACATTATAATCATGATATGAAGTTGTGTCTCCCTTAAAAGAATTTTGATACAGCAATTTTTGCAAAACTTTATTTTCTCCTACATTTTTATAGCATGTCAGCTAACCACTCTTTGAATGATGCAGATCTTATTTCAATGTAAGAAAGTATATAACACTATATGGCATATTCGACGGGCGTATATTGTTCCGCCCCGTGGTACTCTTGTTCACAATTTTATACGCACACGTATTTACCTACTTTGAATATACGATACATACAATATAAATACATATTAGGATAGTCTCAAATATAGTTATAGCCAACATTTATGGGAATATTTCACTACAAACGCATTCAGCATCATTATAAACACACAACAACAATTTCACACATCAGTGATCCGCACGTCCACCCGAACAAATGACCATAATATTTATCGTACAATGGGCGCAATAACAGATAAAAGTTGGAAATAAAGATATAAACAGTACCTACCACAGTCTGTCTCTGTGCCTTATCCACGTATATGGGCTTTCGAACGGTTAAAAATTGATTAATTATCCAAAAAACATACTGTATCAGTGTCGCACATGGCTGACCCCTACTCACCGTCCTGTTGGTCTCCTCTACGGTGGCCTAGTCGCGTCACACATATACACAAAACAAACTTACATAGCGAATGTGACATTTGTCTTATAAATCGTGAGTGTAAACTCCTGTCAAAGTGGAAATAATATAATTAAGACACAATTATGATAATTACAAATTTCTTGATCTTGACAGACAGGTGGCATCATGACCCAGGTGCTGAAGATCAGCAGAAATTCAGAGATGATCTTCTGGATGAAGCATACAGACAGTAATGCTACTGTTACCATCACCCCAAACAAACCCGGAAACATCCTCATATATACACCAAACCTAATGGTGAGTACTGTCACACCAAACCTCATGTGAGTAATATCACACCCAGTCTCATGGTGAGTTCTGTAACACCCAACCTCATGGTGAGTACTGTCACACCCAACCTCATGGTGAGTACTGAAACACCCAACCTCATAGTGAGTTCTGTAACACCCAACCTCATGGTGAGTACTGAAACACCAAGCCTCATGGTGAGTACTGAAACACCAAGCCTCATAGTGAGTACTGAAACACCAAGCCTCATGGTGAGTACTGTAACACCCAACCTCATAGTGAGTTCTGTAACACCAAGCCTCATTGTGAGTACTGTAACACCCAACCTCATGGTGAGTAATATCACACCCAGTCTCATAGTGAGTTCTGTAACATCCAACCTCATGGTGAGTACTGAAACACCAAGCCTCATGGTGAGTACTGTAACACCCGACCTCATGGTGAGTAATATCACACCCAGCCTCATAGTGAGTACTGAAACACCAAGCCTCATGGTGAGTACTGTAACACCCAACCTCATGGTGAGTAATATCACACCCAGTCTCATAGTGAGTTCTGTAACACCCAACCTCATGGTGAGTACTGAAACCCCCAACCTCATAGTGAGTACTGAAACACCCACCCTCATGGTGAGTACTGAAACACCCAACCTCATGGTGAGTACTGAAACACCTAACCTCATGGTGAGTACTGAAACGCCCAACCTCATAGTGAGTACTGAAACACCACGCCTCATGGTGAGTACTGTAACACCCAACCTCATAGTGAGTACTGAAACACCCACCCTCATGGTGAGTACTGAAACACCCAACCTCATAGTGAGTACTGAAACACCAAGACTCATAGTGAGTTTTGTAACATTCAACCTCATGGTGAGTACTGAAACACCCAACCTCATAGTATACAATTGTTTCATGGCTATTTGGGGAAAAGTCAAAACTATCATCCCCCGGGAGGGGGAAGCCCTGGGGGACTGTTTGCCCGAGGCCGCGATAGTTTTGACTGCTCCCCAAATAGCCATGAAACAATTGTTTTATTACCAAATAAATATTAGTATCAATGCTGAATGGAATGGTGCCATTGCTTAAACACTGAGTCGCGGTCAGCGAAACGCTTGAAGGGGGCTCTCAAGGGGAGATTTCTGCGCATCGCATTCGCGCCGGGTAACAGTTCGCTCTGACCGGAAAAACAGTTTTGACTGTTTCACCCCTACAGCCGAAATTGGACAAAAAACCAGAAACAGTCAAAAATGACTAGTTATAATTTATATAGACTATTGGGTAATAATGCGTTCTGTAACACCCAACCTCATGTTGAGTTCTGTAACAACAAACCTCATAGTGACTTCTGTCACACCAAACCTCATGGTGAGTTCTGTAACACCCAACTGCATGGTGAGTACTGTCCCACCCAGCCTCATGGTGAGAACTGTCACACCAAACCGGGGGAGTACTGTCACACCAACCCTCATGGTGAGTACTGTGACACCCAGCCTCATAGTAAGTACTGTCACACCCAGCCCCATGGTGAGTTCTGTAACCCCCAACTGCATGGTGAGTACTGTCCCACCCAGCCTCATGGTGAGAACTGTCACACCAAACCGCCTGGTGAGTGCAGTAACGCCCAACCGCATAGTGAGTTCTGTAACACTGAGCCTCATTGTGAGTACTGTAACACCCAACCTCATGGTGAGTACTGTCACACCCAACCTCATGGTGAGTACTGTCACACCAAACCTCATTGTGAGTACTGTCACACCAAACCTCATAGTGAGTTCTGTCACACCAAACCTCATGGTGAGTACTGTCACACCAAACCTCATGGTGAGTACAGTAACACCCAACCTCATAGTGAGTTCTGTAGCACCGAGCCTCATTGTGAGTACTCTCACACAAAACCTCATAGTGAGTTATGTCACACCCAACTGCATGGTGAGTACTGTCACACCAAACCTGGTGAGTACTGTCACACCAAACCTCATGGTGAGTTCTGTAACACCCAACCTCATGGTGAGTACTGTCACACCAAACCTCCTGGTGAGTACTATCACACCAAATCTCCTGGTGAGTGCAGTAACACCCAACCTCATAGTGAGTTCTGTAACACCCAACCTCATAGTGAGTACTGTAACACCCAGCCTCTTAGTGAGTACTGAAACACCCAACCTCATACTGAGTTTTGTAACACCCAACCTCATGGTGAATACTGTAACACCGAGCCTCATTGTGAGTACTGAAACACCCAACCTCTTAGTGAGTTCTGTAACACCCAACCTCATGGTGAGTACTGTAACACCCAACCTCATAGTGAGTTCTGTAACACTCAGCCTCGTAGTGAGTACTGTAACACCCAACCTCATGTTGAGTTCTGTAACACCCAACCTCATGGTGAGTTCTGTAACACCCAACCTCATAGTGAGTACTGTCACACCAAACCTCCTGGTGAGTACTGTCACACCAAACCTCCTGGTGAGTACTGTCACACCAAACCTCCTGGTGAGTACAGTAACACCCAACCTCATAGTGAGTTCTGTAACACTGAGCCTCATTGTGAGTACTGTAACGCCCAATCTCATAGTGAGTGGGTTCTGTCACACCCAACCTTATAGTAAGTAATATTACACCAAACCTCATGATGATTACTGTCACACCAAACCTTATTGTGAGTACTGTCACACCAAACCTCATAGTGAGTTATGTCACACCAAACAGCATGGTGAGTACTGTCACACCAAACCTCCTGGTGAGTACTGTCACACCAAACCTCATGGTGAGTACTGTCACACCCAACTGCATGGTGAGTACTGTCACACCAAACCTCCTGGTGAGTACTGTCACACCAAACCTCACGATGAGTTCTGTCACACTCAAACCTCATAGTGAGTTCTGTAACACCCAACCTTATAGTGAGTTCTGTAACACCCAACTTTATAGTGAGCTTTGTCACATACAACCTCATGGTGAGTTCTGTCACGCCAAACCTCCTAGTGAGTAATGTCACACCAAACCTCACGATGAGTTCTGTCACACTCAAACCTCATAGTGCGTTCTTCAACACCCAACCTTATAGTGAGTTCTGTAACACCCAACTTTATAGTGAGCTTTGTCACATACAACCTCATGGTGAGTTCTGTCACACCAAACCTCCTAGTGAGTACTGTCACACCCTGAGGTTGGGTGTTACAGAACTCACTATGAGGCTGCATGGGTGTGACAGTACTCACGATGAGGTTGTGTGTGACAGAACTCACCATGAGGTTGGGTGTTACACCCAACCTCATGGTAAGTACTGTCTCAACCAGTATTATATCTCTTGCAGTAATGATTGGTTATAACGTGTTTGATGTATTACTCTCTGAATAAAAAACAATGAAAAGTTACATCTCATAATGTCGTTTGCCTTTTTAATTGACAGAGAATGGAGGAGATTGATACAACAAAGGAGGATGTGTTCCAAGATGGAGTACTGAAGTGTTGTGGTCCCTTCCCCACAGGTATCCCGCAATCTGTATAGCCTAACGGAACTTTTCTTCCACAACCACTATAGGTTTCATCACCCCCGACTCATTGCTTAAACCTGATAGCAGTTTTAAACATTTTTGGGAATTCAATTGGGTGACTCCTTTCATGCATATTTTGGTCAATCTCTTAATTGTGGTAGCAATGATTTGCAACATCATCTTCCATTGTGATATCCTAATTAATAACCATTATTTAACTCAGAATTTGTGTGCAGCCCCCCCCCTGGGCTTATTGCCGGATATATAAGTATGTGAAAACTAGATATATTAAAACCCTATGATTAATTATCTTCAAACCATTTAGTAATGATAGCAGTATTGATGAAATGTACATATACTCCTGGACTGTCATGTAATCATCATTGTCAATGCTGAAAATGTAATGCCTCTCCGAGGTCAGAGAATAAAGGATTATGAAAAGAATAAAAAAAGCTCTGTGCAAATTAAAAATGACAGGATGTCTCTATGATTTTAATATATAATGAAATAAGGTGTAAGTTTGATCTGATTTAATGGTAATTAATTACTATGCACTTTATAAATGCAAACCTACTGAAAAAATTAGTGTCAGATATGCTTGATAACTTCCATTATTTATTGCAAATATCTCTGGAGCATTAAAAGGGTCATGATAGGTTTTAATGTGCCATTCAGTATTTAAAATAAACACCTTAGTCACTGTGCGGGTATAATGCTGTATATTGATTTTGTACCTTTTAACATTTTATAGTAATAGAGAGGCAGATGTCCATCATGTACCCCACTGTGGAAAACATGCTGTTCAAGAACCATGTTGTTGACTTTACTGGTAAGATCACAGACACTTGTAGAAGAACAACTGTAAACACAAGTGGACCTTAACTCATTCACCCCAGAAGACACATTTCAACTTTTCCAATTCAAAGCTCGGAATAGTTCATTATGAAATTTCAGGGTTGAATGAGTTAATACCATTAAGTTCAGATCGTCACCAACCAGGTAGCTCAATTGGTAGTGTCCATCTAGAGTTCTGAGGGTCCCGGATTCAAGCCCCGGTCTGGCCGTTCATTTTTCCGCTTCTATTATATCTGGTGCCGTGACCAACCCTTGTTCCGAGTACTTGGTGAATACTTGACAAAGGGATACCAGAACCCTGGTTGTAAATAGTGTTGTCTTCGAGGACAAAGACTTAGAAAAAGGAGGGAGGGATGAAGTGGAACTGGATTGTGTCGATAGTTGGCGACCAGGTAGCTCAATTGGTAGAGTGTCTATCTAGAGTTCGGAAGGTCCCAGGTTCGAACCTTGGTTTGGCTGTGCATTTTTCCACTCCTATTACACAAATAATTGTCAGCACAGCAAGCTTGTTACACTTGAAAAATTTACAGGAAACAAGAACTCTTCATGGGCCATTTTTATATATAAATGACATTTATATTCTTTGAAATTTTATCGTTAACATTTTTTGTAAAATTGTACTTAACAATTCTTAGAAGAAAGAGGTCAGAAGAGGAGGTAGTGGGTATAAAGTAAATTGTGTCAAAATACAGACATTTTCAAAAAGTCAAGTCTGTACTTACTTATATAGGGTACGTGCTAAAAATAGCCACAAATTCATTCATCTCATGACCCAGTCATCGCCGCCTATTGGTCAGCTTCCATACATTGATTACAAGTATGGATACAATTGAAATAATGTTTTAGATTACATCAGACACAACAATATAAAATAGCATTATTAGTCCTATCACTCCAATTACTCAGACACAGAGAAATAAAAAAAACTTTACTACAACATTTATAAATGACATTGAACAAAGTTTAATTTGTATTTATTAGTTATTTAACTTACAGACATTTTGAAAACACCATAGATAATGAATTATACCAACAACGTCAGACATTTATGTTTGGTGAACAGAAAATATAAGAACCTTTGCCAACCGAAAAGGGGGCCGCGGTACTGGCCAAGTGGTTAAGGCGTCTGACATTCTGTTACCACTAGCCATCCACCTCTGGGTTGCGGGTTCAAAACTAAGGTGGGGCAGTCGCCAGGTACTGGCTGTAGGTCAGTGGTTTTTCTCTGGGAAGTCAAGTTTGTTTTCCTCCACCACCAAAACCTGGCACGTCCTTGAATGACCATAGCTGTAAATAGACCTTAAAAAACAAACAAACCAAACCAAATAACACCAAAAACTTCACACATACAACTTATATATGAGTAATAGCAGACATGTGTGACTTAACCAGTACCCCACTTACAGACACTTAGAGAGAATAAAAACAGCAACATATTAGTGTTAATGTTGAATCCATTATTAACCTGGTTATAGATAAACACATCTTTATAATGAATCGGAAACCTGGTAAAGTAAAATGTCCTCATTGTGATTCTAGGCTCTACAGGCGTGTTATTACCAGACACTGTGACCTGGAAAAATGTGTTATACCCTTCCCTACAGACACTGATAGGTCAACAGACATACCACCCATTGTGTATGACCAGATGTAAGTATAACCCTCTCTACAGAAAGCATACACCTACCACCCATTGTGTATGACCAGATGTAAGTATAACCATCTCTACAGAAAGCACACCTACCACCCACTGTGTATGATCAGATGTTAGTATAAACCTCTCTACAGAAAGCATACACCTACCAACCACTGTGTATGACCAGATGTTAGTTTAAACCTCTCTATAGAAAGCATACACCTACCACCCACTGTATATGACCAGATGTAAGTATAACACTCTCTACAGAAAGCATACACCTACCACCCACTGTATATGACCAGATGTAAGTATAACCCTCTCTACAGTAAACACACACTCACCAACCACTGTGTATGACCAGATGTAAGTATAACCCGCTCTACAGAAAGCATACACCTACCAAGCACTGTGTATGACCAGATGTAAGTATAAACCTCTCTACAGAAAGCATACACCTAGCACCCATTGTGTATGACCAGATGTAAGTATAACCCTCTCTACAGAAAGCATACACCTACCACCCACTGTGTATACCAGATGTAAGTATAAACCTCTCTACAGTAAACACACACTCACCAACCACTGTGTATGACCAGATGTAAGTATAACCCTCTCTACAGAAAACAAACACCTACCAACCACTGTGTATGACCAGATGTAAGTATAACCCTCTCTACAGAAAACACACACCTACCAACCACTGTGTATGACCAGATGTAGGTATAACCCTCTATACAGTAAACACATACCTACCAACCACTGTGTATGACCAGATGTAAGTATAAACCTCTATACAGAAAACACACACCTACCAACCACTGTGTATGACCAGATGTAGGTATAACCCTCTCTACAGAAAAAAACACCTACAAACCACTGTGTACGACCAGATGTTAGTATAAACCTCTATACAGAAAACACACACCTACCAACTACTGTGTATAACCCTCTGTAAGTATAACCCTCTGTTAGTATAACCCTCTCTACAGAAAACACACACACACACACCAACCACTGTGTATGACCAGATGTAAGTATAACCCTCTGTTAGTATAACCCTCTGTTAGTATAACCCTCTCTACAGAGCTTATTCTCAGGAAACATCTGATTCTAAATCTTTCTGAAACTTCTGATGTTGGTTCTTCCTTGTCTTTATTTGTGCATGTTCCATTTTAAGATAGATTACAAAATCACGATGGCACCAGGTAGCCAACCTGGATTTGGCAATTCAAGTTAGTTATTACAATTTCTCAAAATGTACTTGACAGATATTTTCGAATGTCATATGTCAATTCATTGATAAGTAAGTTCTTCCTGTTCACTTGTTTTGCATATTCTGTTTTTAGCTTTAAGTAACCTGATCAGACGAAAATTATGGCTGTTATGAAACGGAAATCTCTGTAGAGATATATTTTACATGTAGCTATCTTAGTTATCAGCCTAAACAATGACCTAATGTTTGAAAGGAAACTGTCAAGTTCAGCCAAACAAAGTTTAAATAAAAATTTACCACAAGATGCATTTACTGTTGACAAGGCTATCAATCCAATCGATAAGAGAAAAGAGAAAACCTGTACAAATAGATCAAATGAAGACCATACAATGTTGGCTGCCAAGATCCATGACTATCATCTGTTGTTTATATGAGTGAAACAGTAGTTTGAGATTGATGCTTTGAAAGCTAGATTATGGTAGTAAGAATATAATTTTTCTTATTTTTGTAATTAGAATATGAGATTATTTCAATCTTGTATACAGCTAACACTGGTATGGAGACAGAGGACAGTCATGACGAATGGCTGAGAATAAACCTGATCCATCTCGTAAACGCAACTGGCTACAACCTTGATTCAGAGGCTGCAAAGATTAGTGCCCATCTTATCTGGGGTTGGCACTGCCTCCTGATACACTACCCACAGGTTTGTACACAAGAAATGTTGATATCACACTCACTGGTATATACACAAGAAACGTTGACATCACACTGACAGGTATATATGTACACAAGAAATGTTGACATCACAATCACAAGTATATACACAAGAAACATTGACATCACACCTACAGGTTTGGTTTGGTTTGGTTTGGTTTAGTATTGTTTAAAGTCCAATCAACAGCTATGGTCATTTAAGGACGGCCTCCCCTGTGTGCAAGATGCATGTGTATGCGTGTGTGTTTTGGGAGGGTGCGATATGTTCGTGTTTGTCTCCTTGTGATAGCGCGGAATTGATACAGACTTTATACTGCTACCTCACTGAAACATACTGCCGAAGACACCCAGCAGGACACCCCACCCGGTCACATTATACTGACAACTATGGCAACTAGCGAACTCAGCTGCTATCAAGACATTTGTATAGTTACACAGGAACCAAAGACATCAAACTGACAGGTTTATATATATACAGGAATTGATGACAGGACACTCATGAAGTTAAATAAAACAATTGCATCAGATGCACATTTTTTGCTGATGTGTACACAGAAAACAGTGACATCATAGCCATCAATACAGATCTGCACACAAAAATCAATGATATCATACCTATTATGAGTTCAGATGTTGACATATAAAATTAAACAACAGCATCATACACATTTGTACTTATCTTGATGATATATAATACACCCAGAGTGACGTTAACTTAAAAATTATCTTGTAAGGGTGAGCTTAGTGTTTGTAGCTTGGGTAAACATATATTATAAAATATCTGTATATGAACATGTCACTGTAATGTTATTTACACAGCTGGACTTACCTCCCTATGACCTGTTGCTTCCGGAGTTGGCATCAAATCCAGACAAGAAATACAACAATATCAGGGTGAGTCTATATCTGAAGGAAATATCTGCAATGTTGTACTGTTGTTTTAGCCCAAGATCATCAGATGGTGGGCTATTCAAATTGCCCATCATCCATGGTCCGTTCATCTGGCCTTCCTTGAAAATTCCTGTTTGTGTTTAAAACAAATTTAGCCTTTATATTCCAAGGGAATGATTTTTGTTTGTATTTTTAGGTCACCTGAGACAAAGTCTCTGTGACCTATCCTAATCGCCTTTTGCCGTAACTCAACATTCATCGACGGTCCTGAGATGACATTTTGACACTATATAAATTTTGAGCCTGGCCCACCGTATGGGGCTGTTGGCAGGGCCAAAAAGGGTCAAATTGACTTAAAATTCAACAATCTTCTTCTTCAGACCCAGTTATGCTGTGAATTCCATTACCCCCGGGCTTCACGTTCGTCCCTGTTGAGGGGGCGAAGTTTACTTTAGTTAATATAGGAAAATTATACTTTTGGGTCTATTTTGTTTATTTTCATTTGATTTAAATTATAACCCAGTTTGCTGGAAACAAATACACTTCATACATGGAAGGGTGTTGAAGTGCTTTGTCAAAATTGTGAATTTATTACCCATGGGCTCCATAGACGAAAACGAATCTATTGGCCAGATTTAGCATACCCAATATTTGCAAACATAGTTTGCACAGAAAATTCAATAACATCTTTCTAATGTGTAAGGTAAGGATATCGTAAACGGTTTTCATTTCATCACGTCGCCTTTTCCACATTGCGGCATCGGAGATTTCCAAATTTGTGACGTCACGTCACCGTTGAGCCATTGTGAAGTCACATCGGGTGAAATGGGGTGTAAGATAAAAAAAATTACACCCCTTTCTTACCCTGGACAGCTCTATCTTACACACAGGGAAATGAGAGAAAATCTAATATTTGTGTTAGTTTAAAACAAAATATCATAACTCAGGTGACTGTTAAGGCCCAAAGGTCTCTTGTTTAATTTATCACAATAGCATAAATAATGATATTTTATTTTTTATATCTTTTTTCATTTAAATATAGGTTGGAAAAGGATTACAGGAAGTACTCAGAATCGCTGCGATCTACATGGTGTCAAGTTTTGATAAGGAACATTTTGGCTTGGCAAAGTTTAAGAAGAGGAGTACATTTGATGAGATTGCTCTGGTGAGTGACCAATGACCGTAAACATACACAGCCTTTGTATGAGAGAACATGTTTTTTCCCTGAGATAGATCATGGTGAATCATTGTGGCTCTGTTTAAAGATCATGGTGGATCATTGGGAAACATAGATAATTGTGACTCCTTTTTAAAGATCATGGAGGATCATTGGGAAACAGATATTTGTGGCTCTGTTTTAAAGGTCATGGTGGATCGTTGGGAAACACAGATATTTGTGGCTCCTTTTTTAAGATCATGGTTGATCATTGGGAAATAGATATTTGTGGCTTCTTTTTAAAGATCATGGTGGATAATTGGTAAACACAGATATTTGTGGCTGCTTTATAAAGGTCATGGTGGATCTTTGGGAAACAGATATGTGTGGCTCCTTTTTTAAGATCATGGTGGATCATTAGGAAACAGATATTTGTGGTTCCTTTTTAAAGGTCATGGTGGATCATTGGGAAACACAGATATTTGTGGCTCCTTTTTAAAGATCATGGTGGATCATTGGGAAACACAGATATTTGTGGCTCCTTTTTGCAAGGATAGACATATTTTCATTATACCAAAATAAAAGGATAAAAATAAAAATTCAAACAAGAATATCAGGAGTGTCTATATATCAATAAATAAAATGTGATTGTGAAGGTAATATGATTGTTTGAAGGTTACTAATATGAGGAAAATATGATAACATGAACCATGATATAATTGCACTGTTTATGATTAATAATAGTAGTAATTTTTATTGTTAAAAAGTGGATGGTTTACATATCTTGACTGACTTCAATTTCATCAGAAAGACAGAGAAAATTTGTAAAACTTAACATAAATAACTTAAAAACGATAAAATAAATTACTTAAAAATGATAAAATAATTACTTAAAAATGATGAAATAAATTTATAAATCCTTCAAAATGCTTTTTGTCTCTTGCACTACCAGAAGATGTTGTCTGCAAAATCTACCTAGATTTTTTTAGCCGTCTTTACTTCAGATCTACTTCAGTGACAGGTCATTTACAATATCATGAGATTATAATCTTCTTTTTCTGTGTATTTTCCAGGAACTTCAGCTTTCTGTTGAAAAGAATGGAGAGAAAACTGGCCTTTTGCCAATAGAGAGTTCAATGGTGCCTGGTCGCATGCTGTACATCTGTCCCGGACATGCAGCTTGTTGGCAGATCGGGCTGGAACTCTCCGATATTCCTATCGATTTGTTCCAGGGATATTCCAACTTCATGACTTCTATCAAACTACCCAACAATCATTTGACGTCCATCCCGCCTGAAGTGTTCTTAAATCTTCCTCATCTACTAAAAATTGATGTCAGTGAGAATTTTCTCGATTCACTACCAGAAACAATAGGACAGTGTGTCAATTTACACTATTTGGATCTGGCAGAGAATAACCTGCTTGACCTGCCCGCCTCATTGAGTAACTGTAAAAGGATCTGTCGGATAGACATCAGTGAGAATAGAATGGAGGTCCTTCCACCTGTGCTTGTAGAGATGCCAGGTCTGAGAAGACTGATTGCCAATGACCTCCTGTTGACAAGTTTACCTGAAAATATTGGTGACATGCCCATCCTAGATGTCTTGTACATGAATGGAAACTGCTTATCAAAACTCCCAAAAAGTTTTGCTAAACTTCAGAAATTGAAAGAGCTTTCCCTTGCAGGTGTGATGTGGATGAAAAACAAAGCTAGACAGTTCCATTCCAGATCCTACTTTGAGACGTTTCTGGAAGGGAGAGGAATCAAACGTTGGATGGCAGCATTGCCTGATGTTGAGGTTTGTAGTACTTTACAAATTTCAATAAAAATCAAATTGAATGGGGATTTAAGCATTTTCATTTTTTTTTTTTTTTTCCAAGCAAAAATTATTTGTAAGGTTTTAATACAAAAATAGGGGGGCCCAATAGGGGAAACATAGCAAATTATTCTTTAAAATCCTTCTTCTTCTGTAGGAATGAAAGGATTTGGTCCATATTTGGTGTGGAGCATCCCTGGGTAAAGGGAAACCAATTTTGTATAAACGGTGGGTGTGGCCCCCCCTGGGACCTGAGGGGCAGGGCCCAATATGGGAAACATAGCAAAATAATTCTTCAAAATCCTTCTTCTTCTGTAGGAATGAAAGGATTTGGTCCATATTTGGTGTGGAGCATCCCTGGGTAAAGGGAAACAAATTTTGTATAAACGGTGGGTGTGGCCCCCCTGGGACCTGAGGGGCGGGGCCCAATAAGGGAAACAGAAATAAAAACTTTATAATCCTTCTTCTACCATATGGATTAAGGAATTTTATCCTAATTTAGTCTGGAGCATTCTTGGACAAAAGGGACACAATTTTGTATAAACAGCGAGTGTGGCCCCCCCTGGGGGGCAGAAGGGAAGGGCCCAATAGGGGAAACATAGCAAATTCTTCAAATACCTTCTTCTTCTGTATGAATGACAGGATTTTGTATAAACGGTGTGTCTAAACCCCCTGGAGGCAGAGAGGCGGGGCCCAATAGGGGACATAGAGGTAAAGCCTTTAAAATCCTTCTTCTACCATGGAGTGCTATATCTTTACTTCATACCAATTATTTTAAACATATTCAGGTGAGCGCTATAGGCCCTCTGGGCCTCTTGTTTAGTGTATACTGTGGCATGGTGTCAGTTATCAATCATCCTTCCATCTATAGGCTTTTTGCTTTAATTAGCATACACCTTCTACATGGCTGATTAGATTTGGACAAAATTTGATCTGAAGCATAAATGGACCAATAGGACTCAATTGTTAACAAATAGTGTGCTTCCTTTCCTGGGGCTGGGGGCAGGACCTAATAAAGAAATCATCGATCTTTAAAAGTCTACTCCTTCAAAATGGGTGAAGGGACTTGAAAAAAATTGGTCTGAAGCATCAATGGGACAAGGAACTCATTTTTAGCTCACCTGCCTGAAGGTCAAGTGAACTTATACCATGGTGCAGCATCTTCTTCTCAGTAACCAAAAGGCCTAGGATGATGATATTTGGCCAGTAGCATGCTAGGAGTAAGGGCTTCCAACTATGTTCAAATGAATGACCTTCATCCATTTTCAAGGTCACAGGGGTCAAGTATGTTAATATCTTTTAACAACTTCTTCTGAATAACCAAGAGGCCTAGCGTGATGATATTTGGCCAGTAACATGCTGGGATAAAGTGCTAGCTACCAAGTTTGTTCAAATGAATGACCTTTACATATATTTAAGGTCGCAGGGGTCAAATATGTTGAAAACTGTGAACGACTTCTTTATAACCAAAAGGACCAGGGTGATATTTTGCCAGTAACATTCTGGGATGAAGGGTTACCAAGTTTGCTCAAATGAATGACCTTCACCCATTTGCAAGGTCACAGGGGTCAAATATGTTGAAATCCTTAAACAACATCTGAATAATCTAAAGGTCCAGGGTAATGATATTTGGCCAGGAGCATGCTGGTATGGAAGGCTATAAAGTCTGTTAAACTTAATGTCCTTGTTTGACTTTCAAGGTCCCAGGTGTCACATGTTAAATCTTTTAATAGATTCTTTTGAATCAAACACTGGTATTTTGCCTGTAGCTGTATTTCAGTCAACTTTTAAGATTACAAGTGTAAAATTTATACCAGGCTTTTGAGGAAGTTATGATGAATCTTAAAAACATTGTTCCTTCAAAGTATAGGTGAAGGACCAGGTTATTTTTCTAACCTGATTCACAATCAAAGATAGCAGACATTTTTATCTTTATCTTAACTTCCAACAGACTAGTTCAACTGAAGAATGCTCTAATGATCCTGCACAGCTGCCAATACTTTCTTGGTTGATCCAAAATCCAAAATGGCTACCCTGTCCTCTGACTGGTTGAAATACTTCCATTACACCCAATCAATTTTGAACTTAAGTCATACACATTTTTCTGTCATTGTCCCTACAAAGTGTTGTTCTTTTGATGTTTTGAGACAATAAGAAATCTGTTATGGCCAACAAAGTATCAAGTTAGCAACAACTTCTTGTCCATTTCAGATGATAAAGCTTTTAACGATACAGGGCTGATTGGCCTCTTGTTAAAATGTGTGAAGTTATCAAGTTTCCCAAACTATTATATTTCTGCCTAATGAAACACTAGCCAATCCTTGGAATAAGTATCTCTTTATAAGTATTTTATGTAACTGTATGTAATTAAGTTCCTCATTAGAAAAGAAAACATAGATTTTGAACAAACATTGAATGTTTAAAATTATGTTTAATTAATTAGCTGAAAATAATCACTCGCCATTTTATATTCTATACTTTATGAAAGTATAAGAAGAAATGATGATAATTATAATACTTCAAAAAAGTATTTCAAGAAAAAGTTTTGCTTTTATGTTGATTTTTGTCATTGCTGAAATATTACTCAAGATATATGTACCTTTTTAAATGTTGTATAACAAAAAGGCAAAAAACATATTTGGATAAAATCATATGAAAGCATTTTGCCTTTGGAGAGATGCTGTTGGGCATGGTAGCAGATCAACAGTTTGGTTTTTATTTTTCAGAAAGTGAATGATGATGATGTGTTCCAGTTGTTTGATATAGACAGCAGTGGGACTCTGGACACTAAGGAGATAGCTAGGCTGAATGCTAGTCTCTTCTCCATCTTCCCCAGGTTTGGCTACAAGGGCATAGACCCTCCAGGTAAGGTTAAAATAATGAAGAAATTTGCTATGAGGGAATGACAGTTACATAGAGAGACTTCAAATAACAACTAAATGTGCAATGTTTATTTGAAATAGGTGCTTCAGCAGACATTATTGTAAACTATCTCCCACAGATGACAACACTCCAAGTGGATTTCCAGAGGAGATTCTAGCACTTAAGAATCTGACTTACCTCAATCTTCAGTACCAAGGGATTGTCCACATACCAGCAGGCATCCAGAACCTGGAGAAGCTGGATAACTTAACACTGGCCTTCAACCCTAACCTTTTGTCCATTGCTGCAGAGGCTGGCCGTTGTCCACTGAAGAGTAAGTACACACAACATAGCAGTTAACCATGCATGCGCTATTATATACGTAGACAGGTAAACGGACAGGCATACAGACTTGTGATAGAATGTACTCCTGTAAGATCCATGACAGTTTGGGTGGGAGGAGTGTCATTAATGGGGAGCGGGGGTGTCACAAGTGTTTGTATGAAATAAAAAAAAAAACATTCATAGGAAATTTCCCCATGCCATCCTTCTTTCTTCCTAACAGCTAAAGAATGAATTCTGGAAAGAATATGGAAAGCAGAACAGTTATGCGTTATACATTTATATCTTATTTAAAGGAGACATTGTCTCGGATTGGCATGATAATCAGCCCTTTAATGGTCATTCTTTTCGTATCGGTGCCAGTACCTCGGCTGCAGCAGCTGGGGTAGAAGATCATGTTATACAGACCCTTGGTAGGTGGTCATCTGATTGTTTCATACGATATATTCGCATAGATCCTGCTACTATCTGTCGAGCACAGCAGAAGATGTCGTCCTGATCTTAGGACAGTGTTTTTCTGCCTTTGCCTTTGGCAGATATATATGATTTCCAGTTCTTTAATGGGTTTTGGATATACTTAGGCTATTGACTACCAAACTGTTTTTAGTTGTTTATTAAGATCCTTTTTGTTCTATTATCATTTTATTTGGGGCTCTCACTCTATGTTGAAACATATTGATTAGTTCATTTTTGGCATTTAACTCTTGGGGAATTCTACCCCCAATCTTATCATAATAGAAAAGTCTTTTACGACACCATTTTTCAGCTGTTCTCATACCGTTGAGGGTCTAGCTAGTCGTTGAATATCTTATTTCTCATGAAGCTTCTCCAGGGTCGCTCGCAGAGTCTAGTAGCTTCTTTGGAATTGTCCAGGGTCTAGTTGCTTCTCTGTATCTTTGAAGTCCTGCTCATGTAGCTACTCTGGGATACCTCAGAGTCCAGATTCTTAGACTTTTAAATATTCTATTAGTAAGTTTAGCTGTTTTGGTATAGAGTGAGTAGCCCCTGATATGTCAAACTTGTAGCTTGTATATATTATAACTGTAGTGTAATAAACAGGTTAAACTGTTCTTGCGTGTTTCTTCACAGAAACATGTGTCAATATTGTCTACTGATTATCAGGCTACTAAAGGGCCATTCCAAAATGCCAGCTTACTGACTTGCTCATAATTAACATCAGACCTGTCAACTCATTTAGTCACATGATCCTGACAACTGGCCAACAAGAGGCAAGAGGTGTCTAGAGAGACACAAGTAAAAATAATAACTAGATAATTAAGAGAGATATTTTAAGCATTGTTATGTTGTTATTTTGAGGATGTGTGAAGGGGGTGGGGCAGATAACTTGTTGTTTATTTGGCAAAGACACAAAAAACATTCTCTGATGCATGCCCACATAAGTTGCTAATAAAGGTGTGTCACTAGGAAAGGGGCATCACTAGGAAAGGGGAATCACTAGGAAAGGGAGGTCACTAGGAAAGGGGCATCACTAGGAAAGGGACTAGGAAAGGGGCATCACTAGGAAAAAGGCATCACTAGGAAAAAGGCATCACTAGGAAAGGTGTGTCACTAGGAAAAGAATGTCACTGGGAAAGGTTGTCTCTTTGGAAAGGAAGGATGCTGGGAAAGAAATATTACTTAGAAATTACTGGGAAATGGAGGTCATGAGGAAAGGGGATTACTAGGAAAGGGAGGTCGCTAGGAAAGGGGATCACTAAGAAAGGGAGGTCACTAGGAATAGAATGACTAAGAAAGGGATGTCGCTAGGAAAGGAGATCACTGGTAAAGGGAAGTCACGAGGAAAGGAAAAAACTAGAAAAGAGAGCTGGTCATAAGGAAAGGGGATCACTAAGAAAGGTATGTCACAAGGAAAGGGAGATCACTAGGAAAGGGAATAACAAGGAAAGAGAGGTAATTAGAAAAGGGGATCACTGGAAAAGGGGGTCACTTGGAGAGGAAACAACTAGGAAAGGGAGGTCATTGGGAAAAGGATATTACAAGGAAAGGAATGTCACACAGAAAGGGAGGCAACTAGGAAATGAATGTTACTATGAAAAGAAAGACACAAAAAGAAAAAGGGGGATCGCTATGAAAGAGTGGTCAGAAGGAAAGGGTATCAACAGGAAAGGGATTAGTGTGAGGGCATGTTTTGTCTATTAAGTGAAAAAAGTTATCCATTCAAAGTAACTGCCTGTTTATATCAGGGTTAATCATGGAAGAGTGCCCCTTGTTGAAAACACCTCCAAAGGAGATCAGGGAGCGAGGCTTTAACACAACCTATGCCTACCTTAAACGCCTGCTGACAGGATCTGTGGACTGTAAACGAACCAAACTGATGTTGGTGGGTCTGGGAGGAGCTGGTAAAACCAGGTAATTTATTGCGGAGGAGCTGGTAAACCAGGTAATTTATTGAGGAGGAGGTGGTAAAACCAGGTAATTTATTGAGGAGGAGGTGGTAGAATTAGAGAATGTATATTGATGGAGGGTTGGCAAAATCATATTGAATGTTCATGAACTTTAAGGGATGTGATTTAAAAAAAAATATATGCTTTTATTTCAAAATCGAAATGTTCTAACCCTTTAATATTACATTATTGCATGTGGATATTGACTGTGTTTACTTGCTTGTTCCTGAATTTAAATATATTTTTTGACCATTGAAATTTCAGTTTAGTGAAAGCTCTAATGTCCAGCATGCATGAGGGATCCAATTTGACAGGAGCAGATTCTATAACTGATGGTCAGTATGAATATTTCTTGGTAAAAATGCAAGATTCTATTTATATATCATACTAAGCTTGAATTGGGAAATGAGTCAAAGTAATTTATTAAAGTGGCCCTTATACATCTTTAAATTCACAGGTATTGACATCTGTACCTGGGATGTGGACTACAAGGGAGATACAGTATCCTACAGTGTATGGGACTTTGCTGGCCAGACAGTCTACTACAACACACATCAGGTAATGGTTGTCATGGGTTTGGCTCAGGGATAATCTCAAAGGGTGTTACAGCACTGACAAAATACATCAGATAATGGCTGTCACAGGCCAGACATAGGGGTCATCTCATAGAGTATTATAACACTGACAAAATACATCAGGTAATGGCTGTCACAGTCAAGGTTTAGTGGGCGTCTCAAGGTTATTACAAAATACTGACAGCACATATCAGGTAATGGTTGTCATGGGCAAGGCTTATAGGGGTCATCTCATAGGGTATTTCTCAAAAACAACACTGACAACTCACTTCAGGTTATAGATGTCACAGGCATGACTTAGGAGTCATCTCATAGGGTAATACAACACTGACAAAACACATCAGGTAATGGCTCTCGTTGGCCAAACTAGGAGCATTTCATAATTATAGGGTACTGCAATACAAATGAGGCAATTGCTGTAACGGACCAAACTAAGGGTGTCTCGTAGCTACTTGACAACACTGAAAACACACATCAAGTAATGCTTAATTTTCAGGGGTTAAACTAGGAAGGGAATTCTCATAAATTCTTCAGCAAATGCTTAGTGTAGTGGTTATCCAGGCCAAGCTAGGTGTAGTATTGGACATCCTCTACTAATTTGATTCTTGTCATTCAAACATTTTCATGACAATCATTCATATTTTTCAGTTTTTCCTGTCAGACCGAGCTGTGTATCTGCTGCTGTGGAATATAAGACTTGGACATGAACATGCTGGGCTGAACTTCTGGCTCAACTCCATCACAGTACACGCCCCTAAGGCCCCCATCTTTGTGGTGGGCACCCACACTGACCAGGTGAGGCATAGATACTGACCATCACAGTACACGCCCCTAAGGCCCCCATCTTTTTGGTGTAGATACTGACCATCACAGTACATGCCTCTAAGGCCCCCATCTTTGTGGTGGGCACCCACACTGACCAGGTGAGGTACCCCGGTATAGATACTGACCATCACGCTACATCCCCCTAAGGCCCCTATCTTTGTGGTTGGCACCCACACTGACCAGGTGAATTATTAACACTAATCATCTCACTACATCCCCCTAAGGCCCCCATCTTTGTGGTGGGTACACACACTGACCAGGTGAATTATTAACACTAATCATCTCACTACATGCCTCTAAGGCCCCCATCTTTGTGGTGGGCACACACACTGACAAGGTGAGGTATAAATACTGACCATAACAGTACACACGCACCTAAGGCCCTAATCTTTGTGGTGGGCACCCACACTGACCAGGTGAATTATTAACACTAATCATCTCACTACATACCTCTAAGGCTTCATCTTTGTGGTGGGTACACACACTGACAAGGTGAGGTATAAATACTGACCATCACAGTACACACGCACCTAAGGCCCTAATCTTTGTGTTGGGCACCCACACTGACCAGGTGAATTATTAACACTAACCATCTCACTACATACCTCTAAGGCCTCATCTGTGTGGTGGGTACACACACTGACAAGGTGAGGTATAAATACTGACCATCACAGTACATGTCCCTAGGGCCAGCCTTTGTGGTAGGCACCCACACTGACCAGGTGAGGTATAAATACTTACCATCACAGTATTCAAATCTGTCCTAATTGGTGTCAAATATTTTTTTGCATTAATACAATCTTAAAAACCTCTCCAAACATTTAAGTTTGAATACGGCCTGTAAATAAGCCCACCTATGTCAAATACAGTTCAGTAGAAATACTAACAAGTGCTATCAAATTGTCCGGCAATAAGCCCACACCCTATTTTGAGTTATGTGCTGGCCACATTGGCTTATTGCAAGATAAATGTGGCACCATCTGAAGTCTGATATTTATCTTTTGTTTGTAGATGACCAAGGTCGAGTTACCTATGGATGAAATGAGTCAAACTTATCACCAAATAGAGGGATTCCACTTTGTTAGCTCAAAAGATGGAAAAGTAAGTAATAGATCTAGAACATCACACTAAGTTATCACCAGATAGTGGGATTCCACTTTATTAGCTCCAAAGATAGAAAAGTAAGTAATAGATCTAGAACATCACACTAAGTTATCACCAGATAGTGGGATTCCACTTTGTTAGCTTTAAAGATGGAAAAGTAAGTAATAGATCTAGTACATCACACACAGTTAACACCAGATAGAGGGTTTCCACTTTGTTAGCTACAAAGATGGAAAAGTAAGTAATAGATCTAGTACACCACACAGTTATCACCAGATATAGAGATTCCACTTGTTAGCTCCAAAGATGGAAATGTAAGTTATAGATCTTTTGTCAGATTTGATACATATGTAATGGAACTGGACTGGGTCGATTGTTGGCGACCAGGTAGCTTAATTAGTAGAGCGTTCATCTATAGTTCGGAAGGTTTCTGCTCCTGTTACACAAACAAGGTCTTGCTTATTCGTAAAGGGCTTTACTTTTACACTTCCAGGGTATCCCTGACCTGAAGGAGGCATTGTTTAAAGCAACACTACAACAGGAGTACATGGGAGAGAAGATTCCACAGGCGTGGCTTCAGTTTGAGTCAATCATTACAAAGTAAGAGTATTCTCCTCTGGGGTCATCACACTTATTATTTATCCATTTATATATATAGGATTTTCACACAGCAATAACCTAATAACAATTGTAGTCGCTATTACGAAAATATTGTGTTTATCTCATGTAGCTTTAATAACCTCTGTAAGGTTCCGAATTTCATTGATATTTTTTTGGGTAATTACTTTTTTCTTGCAATGGAGAAAGTTGTGAAAACCTGTGTAACTAGAATACTATGTTACAGCTGATGGCCTTGTTGTATGTAAATAGGTCTGTCCAGGTTTTCTAGTGGACTAAAAATACCACATTCAATGATTTGTTTCACCTCATATTTATACATGAAATAAGCTAATGCTAAATTGTTTTCTTATTTGCTAACACTTAAGTCAAATGTTGAGGGACTTATAAATGATAGCATTACAGATTTTCCCTGTTCATTTGCATATGCTAAGCACATTGAGCACTACCCTTTTGATTGGTGAGTCATGTATATTTATGATGACAGGGAGAAGGTTACAAATAGCAAAGATGTGCTGTCGTACAAGGAAGTAGAGACTTTGGCTACAGAGGTGGGAATAGTGGACAGTGTTGAGGTGGGTGGTACACGGTACTAAAAACTTCATAATTAAAGTCTTTGAAGTGTGTCTTTTCTTAACTTCAAATTGGTTTCTTATCTTCATGTTTTCTACATATTTTTTTTTTTATTCAAGTTTTTGTTATTGTCCCTAGAAATTCAAAGTTTCAAGGTAATCATGGCCAGATACACTATAGTGAGGCTATTCCGTCTTTTCGTATTGCAGAGTTATCTGTTATTGCAGAGTTATCAAACCAATGACATAACAATCAATACCTGCTCAAAAGAGAAGATAACTCTGCAATACACAAAGATGGAATAGTAAATGGTGACAAATTCGCCTTACATTTTAAATAAGGTATATTACTTTCAGCGCCGTTTTTAATATATATCCAAGTTTAATTTCATAGAAATAAACCGTTACTGGACCACTAGATGACTTTGAATATACATGCATATGGTATTTGATCAATCTTAGAAAAAGTAAGTAGAAATAAATTAACCGTTATCTGATAACTAGAGTACTTACAAATTATATGGTATTAGATATAGCTAAGTTCAATTATAGAAATATAAAATATCATTGGACCAATAAATGACTTATATAGATACGATATTTCAGACACTAGAGATTGTAGTAACCAAGTTTACTCTTATTATTAACCAGAGTGATCGTCTGATCATTCTTTAATTATTGGGTTAATATTAAAACATGGCACCTGTTTTTTATCAAATACTTTCACCATATATCTCACGTAAAGCTCAACTGGCTTCACCATTAACAGATGGAGGAGTGACAGATGACCCACAACTAATTATTGTTCTATCTATAGATGAACATAACACACACACACGCCCGTTTGAAAATAATATTGTAAGAATATTGATAGCATATTTCTGTGTCATTGTTAGGTGGCTCAATCGATTCAGTTCCTACATGATCTTGGCTCCGTTCAGCACTTCCAGAATGAGTATCTACATAAACATGTGGTGATCAACCCACAGTGGATTGTGGATGTGATGGCCTGTGTGGTGTCCGTCAAACAGACCTTCATTCAGGTAACAAATGTACAATGAAACTGTGTACACCTAACACTGTGAAGATCGACCAAAGCAACTTGAAGAAAGACAGATTTAGGCTATTTGGATGTCTGGTTTATACAGGTGTTCTGATAACACAGGTTTAGTTTAACAAAAAATGTATACAGTGATGCCTATCTGGAGGTCTGGTTTATACAGGTGTTCTGATAACACAGGTTTAGTTTACTAAGAAATGTATACAGTGATGCCTATCTGGAGGTCTGGTTTATACAGGTTTCTTGATAAAAGAGGATTCCATCAAGATAGGTATATCACAATGTTTACACTGTTATGATAAAGTTTATTGTCTCCCTTGATTCTTTGGCTTGTTTTGTTCAATAATGTAAAGGTGTTTAGAGTTTCTTTGGAGGAATGATCTGTAGTAGGATATTATGTAATCCATTAAATCCAGATCGTTAACCAAAGCAACTGTTAAAACACTTCATATATTTGCTTACTCTTTTAACTGCCAAAAATTGAAAAAGGTACAACAATATTTTTCATCATTCAGTACATAAATATTGAGTAGGGCCACCGAATACTAAACTCTGCAGATATCAATATTACTGGTAAATTCAAACTGTTATCAGTGTGAAATGAAAATGTGGCTGTTTAACATTACACATGTATTGTCCTTGTTGTAGAGAAACCTGATTAATTGTTTTCTTGAGATTTATCATGTTTTCAAGGGTGGAGCTAGGTGAATCATGATTAATGGAGGGAAAACAAAGATAAACATGTTCTGGCTAGATAAGGAGTAACTTAGTATAGTTTAGGCTGGATAAACAAGGATGGATTTGGACAACCAGATGTACATTATAGTGGTGACTGGATCAAAGAGGCTTTAATTGACAACAAGTTTTTATGCCTTTCAGGATGGCCATCTGAACCATTCTGACATTCAAACGGTCTGGAAAGATTACCCAAATATGTGTGACTGGCTTCTGAAACTGACTGAACAATTCGACCTCACTTACCAGTTGGAGGGAGAGAAGTGTAACATTGTACCATGTCTCCTTCCAGAGAAACGCCCAGAGGTAAGTGTCGCATGACAGTGTAACATTGTACTTTGTCTCCTTCCAGAGAAACGTCCAGAGGTAAGGGTCACATGACAGTGTAACATTGTACTTTGTCTCCTTCCAGAGAAACGTCCAGAGGTAAGGGTCACATGACAGTGTAACGTTGTACTTTGTCTCCTTCGAGAGAAACGTCCAGAGGTAAGTGTCACATGACAGTGTAACATTGTACCATGTCTCCTTCCAGAGAAACGTCCAGAGGTAAGTGTCACATGACAGTGTAACGTTGTACTTTGTCTCCTTCCATAGAAAGGTTCAGAGGTATAAGTGTCACATAACAGTATAACAAATTGTTCTTTCTACTCCTAGAGATAACAAATTTATATTCAAACTCAAATCCTGATTAAAATGTGATGGTACCTATTAAACTCTTATAAGTAATAAAGTGAGTGTTAGTCATTTTCAACGTGAACCACTTAAACGGGAGCTAAATCAAAATGGGGTTGTTCACCTTTGGAGAAAGATTGATATTGCATATCAAGATTCAAGGATTTTGTTTGTTTAGGATTCCTGTACCACTGTCAAAAACTGTAACTATACATTCAGCATTTGTTCTCTGGCATCACTTAATCAAGCTTTAAGAAAGCAATTATAATAATAATAACAAAATGTTTTTTCTAAGTCTAAAATTTAGAATGGTCATTGGACAGATTTTCCAGAAATGATAAAAATATATTTGTAAAAAAAAGAAAGAAAATGGGGAAAAAACAGATAAATTTACAAAAATAAAATAAAACATTGTTCTGTGTAAAGAGAATACAAAATTAAACAGTGCCAGACCAGGATTCAAACCCTGAACCTTTGAACATGAAACAATGTCCCTTATGGACTGAGCATGAGCTTCCTGGTCAGTGATAGTTACCTGGTGCACCTGTATATTAGTTATATCCAAAATTAATTTAAGGGGAGGTTACTCTCTGTATGGAAAACACATTTTGGCATTCTCCAGTGTTTTGCCTTCAGGGGGAGAGAGATCTGTCAAAAAGTTGCTGTTTCACATCCAGCATGGAAAATTGTCAGTTTCAATGGAAGATATGAAAGTGATTCTGCAAAATAAGGATGAACATTGTGCTTTGTATCTGTAGTTTAAATGGCCAGAGATGAACAAAGATGAAGGAATCTATGAGACGACGATGATCTACAGGTTTGACTATCTACCAGCTGGCCTGTTCAATAGGGGACAGGTAATTAGCTACACTGCATTAACTTGATGGAGAAAATCTTTGTGTGTCGAGCAAAGAAATAATCAAGGCCAGTATTTGAGGTATTTAGACTCGTATCACCAGACATGCATAAAATTAATTTTATTGGAAAGTATATGCTTTTAACCCTCAGTTTTCCCAAAGTGTTATTTTCATGCAGAGCTAAGGAACTGATAATCCACACAAGAATCACACTATCTTTCATACTATAAATCAACTCTTCACAGTTCTTTTCCCAGATCTGTGTATTGCTATCAAGAGGGACATCAAAATTCACCTCTTCACGTCTGTATTTTAGGGTCTCTGCAAAGACGTCATGTAAATACCACCCTTTATTTGTTCAATTATGTGCACATTGCTTGCTTAAATGCATAAAAGTGATTGTAAGCCTTTGTTTTTGTTTCACAATTATAACCATTACTATTATCCATATGTTGTATGGAGTAATTTTACAAATTAAATAGGGCGCTATATAAATGTTGTATATTATATTGTTGTATATTATTATCACCTATGCATTTAAATATGAACTAGCTAACATTGTCTGAATACAGGTGAGGCTACACGGGTATTCAGAAGACTCCTTTATCTGGAAGAGAGGGTCGTTCCTGAAGAAAAATGGCCAGATAGCCTTGATACAGCAGATCAAGTAAGACATTATCAGCTGACCAGAAAATGTTGATTCATTACATCTAAAAATTTGTAAAAATTATTTTTACCTGTGGAATATCAGAAATTATCAATTTGATAAATACTTCAATGCAGTAAACTATTAAGCATCTTCTATGTAATAATTAATTCCTTATAGTATAATTTATAATTCTGTATACAGCATTGATTTTGTGATAATTAAGTCCAAATAGCTACAGACTGTTTTTTGATTTTGAATCTTTTTTTTTAAGGAGGTTCATGTCATAGTTGCTCCCTAGAAATGGTATGAAATAAGTCCTCTTATAATTTACCATACTGTTATATAAAATATCTTCCCCTCATAGGTAAATTTGTAACTAGATGTTTACCTTTCATTCCTCCAGGGACTCAGAGTTAAATGTGAGAGTTCAGGGAATGAAGCCGGACAACCTGCTGTTCTTCATCCACGAGGTGTTTGAAGGTCTGATCAATGAGTCCTTCCATGGTGTTGCCTACGATTACGAGATACCTTGTCCAGATTGTACCAAGCAGGTAATTGATGAAAAATATTTTCACAGAAATATATATTTACCATGGCAATCAGAATAGTATGGAAATAAAATGTACTTGTTTTCTTGTTTCAGAAAAAAATGAGATCTCCACAAAAACAAATATATCTCAGTGTTCTTGATTAAAGTTGTATAGTAGCTAGTTTGATTGTCTGTCTGGAAGTCTTCCAAGAGCTTGAACAATAATTTTTCAACCATAAATTTACAGTATGTGAAAGACCCCCACATGTTCAAGGCGTCAGGTATCCGTCGTGCTCTAGAATTGAAAGCACCTTTCCTACAGTGTCAAAAATACTTCCACACTGCCCCGGTCCTCAGCCTCCAGGGGACCCTGGCTCCCGACACCAACAGTGACTTTGAGGTCCATCTGGATCAAGATGTTAACAATCTTCAACACATGCAAAATGAAATGGCAGTCGGTGAGTATTTTTAATACCATGAGGACTATAGAAATTTTGAGAACATTTGAAGCCTTAACCATAACCCCACATCTCCACATCCCCACATCCCTGTCCCCTGTCCCCCATCTCGTTCTCGTCCCCCACCCTCTGTCCCCCTCCCCGTCCCCTGTCCCCCATCCCCTAGGGAGGGGGATGTGTGACAGATCTAACTTAAAGGTAATGTTTTTATCTTAAAGTTATCAAAGTTAATAAAAAAAATAAAAAAAAAAAAAAATCTTTTCCCACCATTTTGATACTTTTATAACTAATTAATAGATCAGCTGGTCATTATCAATGCAATGAATCCAGATTTTATGTTGAAATATAAGACGTGTGATTACAAGTATAATTATATAGATACAGTTTTATTGATGTTACTCAGCACCAAGTATAATCACTTTCTGGCCGAATATTCATCTTTTACATGATTTGTTTTAGCTACAAAATATGAAGGAACATGAAAAGAGCAAGAATAAATATATTTATCATGCATGTTTATGTTTTTGACATTGATTTCACAATTAGTTTTTAGGTATCCTGCAATAGCAGTGTGTAGACATGTATCTGTTTTACCACATCCCATTACCAGAATACATGTGAATATTTCCAAAAAAACATAGAAGATCATCAAGTCTTCATTATCACAATCTTGACTTCATGTCTATTGAAATTTGACGTCCCAGAATGACAACTTTATTTCTATTTTTGTCCAGATATTTTCCTTTCCTACTGCATCAAAGATGCTCCAGGTGATAAATCCAAGGTCATACACCCAGCAACCGTCCACGCTGACCTGGAAAAAGCGGGCTACTCATGGTAATTATTAATACATAATCTTTAACATCAGATCTGGTTTGTTTTTATCTCACTTTGAGATGACTAAAACACAGATAGATGTGATATATATTTCAAATTCCAAATATGAGCTCCAGTTTATTTTATTGTTTAGCAAGGAATTCATCACTTATTTGAGGTCAGCTAATTTTCTGTTACATATTTACATGGTAGGTTATGTTCATTGAATTTCAAAATAGGTGTGTATGTTAAATATGATTGGTAAGTTCCATTTGTACAGAGTCTGTCAGCCTTTTCCTGTTGTTTACAATAGCTTCTTTTGAACGAAAGATTACTCACAAACCAATGTAGTACAATATGTAAATGTACAAAAGGCTTTTTCTTTAAAACAGTGAATAGTTGCAATTCCTGGATCCTTAACCGACTTAGGGCTGTATGGTACCTTTCACATTATACCTGTTATTTCTTTCAAGCTATTGTCAGTTAATTATTTTTTTATATTTATTGTCTAATAATGCAGTTATTTTCAGTGCTATCAATGCAGGACTGCCTATGTGTATTTGTCAAATGTGTTTTCAGTAATTAAGTCCATATTAGAAATAATTTACATGTTTTATAGAGGGGAACACTTCTGGAAAGGAGACTTACGTTACAGTACGGTATCATACATCCTTAACTCTTGTGTGTTACAGTACGGTATCATACATCCTTAATTCTTGTGTGTTACAGTACGGTATCATGCATCCTTAACTCTTGTGTGTTACAGTACGGTATCATACATCCTTAACTCTTGTGTGTTACAGTACGGTATCATACATCCTTAACTCTTGTGTGTAACAGTACGGTATCATACATCCTTAACTCTTGTGTGTAACAGTACTGTATCATACATCCTTAATTCTTGCGTGTTACAGTATGGTATCATACATCCTTAATTCTTGTGTGCTACAGTACGGTATCATACACCCTTAACTCTTGTGTGTTACAGTACAGTATCATACATCCTTAATTCTTGTGTGTTACAGTACGGTATCATACTTCCTTAACTCTTGTGTGTTACAGTACGTTATCATACATCCTTAACTCTTGTGTGTAACAGTACAGTATCATACATCCTTAATTCTTGTATGTCACAGTACGGTATCATACATCCTTAATTCTTGTTTGTTACAGTACGGTATCATACATCCTTAATTCTTGTTTGTTACAGTACGGTATCATACATCCTTAACTCCTGTGTGTTACAGTACGGTATCATACATCCCTAACTCTTGTGTGTTACAGTACGGTATCATACACCCTTAACTTTTGTGTGTTACAGTACGGTATCATACATCCTTAACTCTTGTGTGTTACAGTACGGTATCATACATCCTAAATTATTGTGTGTTACAGTACGGTATCATACATCCTTAACTCTTGTGTGTTACAGTACGGTGTCATACATCCTTAATTCTTGTGTGTTACAGTACGGTATCATACACCCTTAATTCTTGTGTGTTACAGTACGGTATCATACATCCTTAATTCTTGTGTGTTACAGTTATTTTCCGGAGGGCAAAGACCTCATTTCACGAGAGAATATGGCCAAAAGAATAGTGCACGCCTCAGTGTTTCTCGTGTTTATCTCCAACAACTACGCAGCCAATGATGTCTGTTGTGACATGTTTAAGTACGTCATCAACACAATGAGGAAACCAACCATTGTCGTGGCCGTGGGGGAGAACTTCGACTGGAAGCAGAGCCCCACTTTGGGAGTCTTTGTGGCTGATCTTGTAAGAATTATTTAACAACATATTGTAGTGACTTTTTCTGTTACTTCTGAAGTTTCTTAAATAAACATTGTGGGAGCCTCTTTATCTATTTATGTACAGATTGGACCTTTGTTAATGTGTATGTTACTTCTGAGGTATTGTAAATGACCTTTGTATCATCCTGAACTCGTGTAAGATTAACATCTCTGTTACTGAGTATGTTACTTCTGAGGTATTGTAAATGACCTTTGTATCCTCCTGAACTCGTGTAAGATTAACATCTCTATTACTGGGTATGTTACTTTTTGAAAAACGTTTGGAACATTTGACTTTTTTTCCTTTTCTTTATTAAATCTAAATAAATGTTTGGTGTCACATTTAGTTTACACAGATCAATGTAATATGTATGAAATAATCACAAAGGCACTGTGCATATGTCACATATTTGGACTATTTTACTTATTACCTCTAAAACAGACAAGTATCATTGAACTATTTTTGTATGGCATTTATGATCTATTTGAATGACGCAGCTTTGCAAGCAAACAACATAATGTGGGCTTACTTCAAAGCCTATATTTACAATTTTTCCGCTTTTCATGTTTTTTTTCACTTACAAATTATATTTAAAATTCCCGCCTTAGTCTGCACAGATGTGTTCAATAACTGGAACAGCGCATTGTCGAGTGATGATTGGCTGAGAATTGTGTATTGTAGTGGTGGATGTCATCTAAAAATAGGTTATATAGTGACAATGCCATGCAAATGTACATATATAATTTGACAATATTCAGAACAACCTACATGTGGACATGAACGCTTTTCTGATGTCCGACATTTGTTGCTCTCTATGAAGTGTAGTAGAGTCTTTAAAATTACATGTCAATGGATGGAGATTTTTCCAAACTCCTTGTTTATTATCCTTTTCTTGCTAATTAGGTTTAAACAAGATATCACAAAATCACTTACATGTTTATTCCATGTTAAAACTGATTTTTCAGGAGCTTTAGAGGATGAGTTTTTGAGAGAGAAAAAAATCTGTTTTGGACTAAGTTTGGAGCCTAAGAAAATACTTGTGTTTGGAAGAGAACCATCCTGTAATGCACAGTTATGCTGGTCATGTATGGAGGTCAAAACATTAATGTTTGTTTATAAACACAATGTCATGTGTGGACAAAGCAGGAAGGAGGGAAGGAACACTGTATATTGAATTGTATCTTGTAGGTTTTTGTGAATATGATCAACTCCAAGAAGGATGTGTACAAAACCAAATTTGCTGAACTACTGACCACTCTACAGAAGAATGAACAACTGAGTCTGACCAGACCAGAGACGTCCAATAGTTGCTTCATCAGTTACTCCTGGGTCAACTCTCGTATGGCAGTGGATTCTGGCACTAGGTATCTACGCTGGCTACTCCTCATATACTTCAATGTTACTGATACATAATTAGAATATTGGAACGTTTAAACATGTTTATTTTTTGTGCAGGGAGCTAGCTGGTGCTGTTGGCCAAGTGGACCCTAGGGAGCTGAAGAACTATTTAGAAGAGCATGGTGTAGGGTGCTGGATTGATGTGGAGCAAGTCAATGTGGTGAGTTGAATGATAAGGATATAATTTTGGGCTATTCCAAGTATATGAATATATAGGCTGGGAGGGAAGAGGGGTAGGGGAGTTGTTGGGTCTAAATTTGGGTTAGGGAGGCACTTATACTTGATAATATATGGGTGATACTTTAGAATACAATACTGATAGTCGTTAACATTTATATAGTAGACCTCAGTAGAAAAGACTTACTGAGTTACCTGGTAATTCCAGGAATCTTTACCACCTTCAGTGGGGATATTCAGCATAGTGCCAAATGTACCAGAGGTCACTTTTTCCAAGTGCCTCCTGTACGAGTCAAACTGGACTAAAGATTGCCAGTAGTAGTTCAGTTCTCTGCTAAAGATTGCCAGTAGTAGTATTTCAGTTCTCTACTAAAGATTGCCAGTAGTTGTTCAGTTCTCTACTAAAGATTGCAAGTAGTAGTTCAGTTCTCTACTAAAGATTGCCAGTAGTTGTTCAGTTCTCTTCTAAATGTTGCCAGTAGTAGTTCAGTTCTCTACTAAAGATTGCCAGTAGTAGTTCAGTTCTCTACTAAAGATTGCCAGTAGTAGTTCAGTTATCTATTAAAGATTGCCAGTAGTAGTTCAGTTCTCTACTAAAGATTGCCAGTAGTAGTTCAGTTCTCTACTAAAGATTGCCAGTAGTAGTTCAGTTCTCTACTTAAGGTTGCCAGTTGTTCAGTTCTCTACTAAAGATTGCCATTAGAAGTTCAGTTCTCTACTAAAGTTTGCCAGTAGTAGTTCAGTTCTCTACTAAAGATTTGCCAATAGTAGTTCAGTTCTCTACTAAAGATTGCCAGTAGTTGTTCAGTTCTCTACTAAAGATTTGCCAGTAGTACTTAAGTTCTCTACTAAAGATTTGCCAGTAGTACTTCAGTTCTCTACCTATTGAGCTAAAAGAAAAGTAATTCTTTAGTTCAATAACAAGTTGCTTGATAGTTCACCACTGACATTTGTAGAATTAAATTTGAAAAAATTGCTGCCTACCCAAACTTTAAAATCAGGTTTAGACAAACACACATTTTATATACTGATGTGCCTTAATTATGTTGATGATGGCATTATTTGAAGACCCATTAAAAAAATGTGATATAATGTATATATTTTGCATTAACAGAATGACCAGCTGTTCAGCAGAATTGCGAAGGGTATGTCAGAGGCCCGGATAATGGTCGCCTGTGTCTCAGATGAATATGCTGAGTCAAAGACTTGTTGTAAAGAACTCCGGTTTGCCCTGCAGCTTGGGTTGCCATTGGTGATTGCTGTTGTTGGGACTGGTGACCAGTGGAAGCGTACCGAGGTATGACCTCACCTGCTTCTTACAGCTACTTGACCGTGCATGTTTCTATCATGTTTGTCGGACATATGGCTTGATTGCAGCCCTTTCAGGGCATTAATTACAAAAACACATGTACTTATATCTTTGAATTTTTTTTTTTCTATATCCAAAAGAAAAATACAGTACACAGCAACAAAATGGCTACTCTAGAAGAATACACTTGTAAATTCTTATTTAAAATTCTCAACAAAAATTTAATAACTTTTGTCACAAAAATATGCATAAAATGAGGAATTAACACCATTACAATGAAAAACAATTTTTTGGTTCAATACGATTAGTAAAGCATCAGTTTGTTGTATTTGCCATCACTATAAGTATAATGATCATTGGAAATGCATGGTAATCTGTAGAAATCTGCTTTATGTAAAGTTCATTCTCCAGATGTAGATGATATGGAAATTTAAAAAAAATTAACAGAGAAGAGAATAGAGTGCTTCCACTGGGGATCGAACCTGCGAACCCAGACTTCCTAGCTGGACACTCTACCACTGAGCTAAAGGGAAATTCCCTTTAGCTTGAAGCTGTAATCTTATGTACAATGAAAATCTACCACAAAAATATAACTTGTTAGTGACATTATCAGGAATGTTAATTTTAATGTAAAGCTACACCTGGTTGTCAACACTGACAAAGTTTGAACTTCAAATATCAAATACTTGTCAAGTTTTCAAAACTTCTATCTAATTTTTATTTTTTACACAAACCTATCAGTCCCTGATCAAAAATGATACTGAACATCACAGATGATCGTCTTAGAGTGTAGGTGCTGGTAACTTAAAACACAACTAGAGGTTATAAGTTAATTAAAAGAAAATTCCAATTCAAATGTGCTGGAGCAGCACCCCGTAGGGTCAGCTCCTGTCCAGGAAGATGATGATGTTGCTATTCCCTTGTATTGCTAAGTCTGTTCTGACTCTATGATTCATCTGTGATTACTTTCAGGTTGGTTTCCATTCCTTGTCGTTTCCGACAATCAACTTTCAGAGCCATAATGACAATGCCTGCTCAGACTTGTTAAAGCTTGTACAGAAGCACATGTTGTCAGAACGCAAAGAAGACGCAGAGGAGGAGAAGAGGAAGAAAAACAAGGCTAACGAGGAGAAGGCAAATACATCTTTCCAGGTATGTCATTTTACTTCTCCTTCAAAGCATTACATATTACTCAATCCATAAAAGACATGATTACACCTTGTAAAATCTGACATATAATTAGCTCAAAATGTATTGTCATGATAATATATTTACATTCTGTATGCTTAGACCCATCGGTGAAATTGACATTCATTTTTGCATAACACAGGTGACCTCATCACCGTGTATTGATACACATTAATGACATAGCACAGGGCGTAATTGGTACACGTCCGCCGTCAAACAGCCCTCGGTGTAGTTTAGTTATGCTAATATGATTAACATTAAACATGATAGGCTTCATTTTAATTCTCAAAAGAGGTTTGTATGGTACATGATAATAATATCCGACCTGTGCTAGTTCTACAAATAAAATTTGAAAATACATCTATATTCTGTTTGTTTCGTTGTCATGCTGTTGGTAGGACCCCCACCGGAAGTTTTACATTTTCCCGCGATAACACACTGTTCTCTCTACTGCGTTGCCCCCATGTACAAAAAGAATTACAATGCTGGTATTATTTTTATTTATGCTTGCATCGGAAAATTCAAAGCACTTTAAAATGTAAATATAAGGAATGAAATTTATTTTATCAACATTCATGAGGTCATAACAACATGAATGTTGAAAAAATAACTTTCATTCCTTAAGTACTGGATGTTGCCATGACAATGTACGGGTATTGCCATGACAATATACATGTATAGCCAAGACAATATACATGTATAGCCAAGCCAATATACATGTATAGCCAAGCCAATATACATGTATAGCAAGACAATATACATGTTTAGCCAAGACAATATACTGGTAGTGCCATAACAATGTACTGGATATTGCCATGACAATGGACTGGTATTACCATGACAATGTACGAATATTGCCATGACAATGTACCTGGTATTGCCATGACAATATACTGGTATGGCCATTACCATGTACTGGTATAGTCATGACAATGTACTGGATATTGCCATGACAATATACATTTATAGCCAAGACAATATACTGGTATTGCCATTACAATGTACTGGTATTGCCATTACAATGTAATGGTATTGGCAAATGTATTGGTATTGCCATGACAATGTACTTGGTATTGCCATGACAATGTACTGGTATTACCATGACAATGTACGAATATTGCCATGACAATGTACTGGGTATTGCCAAATTATTTTACTGGATTTTCCCATGACAATGTACTGGTATTGCCATTACAATGTAATGGTATTGGCAAATGTATTGGTATTGACATGACAATGTACTTGGTATTGCCATGACAATGTACTGGTATTACCATGACAATGTACGAGTATTGTCATGACAATGTACTGGGTATTGCCAAATTATTTTACTGGATTTTGCCATGACAATGTACTGGTATTGCCATTACAATGTAATGGTATTGCCATTACAATGTAATGGTATTGCCAAATGAAATGGTATTGCCATTACAATATACTGGTATTGCCATTACAATTTACTGATATTGCCATTACAATATACTGGTATTACCATTACAATGTACTGGTATTGCCATTACAATATACTGATATTGCCATTACAATATACTGGTATTGCCATTACAATGTACTGGAATTGCCATTACAATGTACTGGTATTGCCATTACAATGTACTGGAATTGCCATTACAATGTACTGGTATTGCCATTACAATATACTGGTATTGCCCTGACAATATACTGGTATTGCCATTACAATATACTGGTATTGCCCTGACAATATACTGGTATTGCCATTACAATATACTGGTATTGCCATCACAATGTACTGGTATTGCCATTACAATGTACTGGTATTGCCATGACAATGTACTGATCTTGCCATGACAATGTACTGGTATTGCCATGACAATATACTGGTATTGCCATGACAATGTACTGGTATAGCCATGACAATGTACCGGATATTGCCATGACAATGTACTGGGTATTGCCATGACAATGTACTGGTATTGCCATGACAATGTACTGGGTTAACAATTATACTCTGTATCTCTGTTTGATTAAGTTGTTCATGTGATAGTTAAACCTGTTTTATATATATGCTTTGTTGAACAAGTCCTACAATAAGAATGACATCAGGAATTTCTTCATCCTTACAGGAAATGTATGAGCTGGCCCAGAGGAAGTTCCTCAGACAAATAGCCAGCTATGCAAGTGCCCAGGACCTCGGTAACTACCCTCACCTGTTCGTGCTGGACATCAGTCCGACACATTCGAAAAAGACAAGTGAGTGTATGCAGGATTTGTAACACATAGCTGTGTGAGGTGGATCATTAAAGGCTTGGTATCCCAGTTCAGGAAAGAACTATGTCTTTTTAATATTTATGATTGTTTGCAACACTGTTCCTTTTAAACATACCCATAGTCCATAATGTGTGGTAGTGCATCTTGGAATATATATGTTTGAGCAGAACTGTTCAGAACTGAATCCTTATATTTACACTACACTAAAGAGATATGGGATATTTTAATGGCTTCCCATTGAATACCATAAATCATGGGTATGTTAGGATACCACATGTGTTGCAAGTGCAAAACAGGAGTGAAAAACTACATCAATGTATATATGGTATAGCATTCAACAGGATAAGCAGTAAATTTAGAATTTATTACATTTTTAACATAACTGCAATGAAAAAAAAATGTCACTGTATCAAAACAGCGATGGAAATAATGGCTTATATGCTCTAATGACATCAGCTTGATAAAAAGGCTTCACACCAAATGGAGTTCTACGTTTTTTTCTGCTGTTATCTATGGTCACAGCTTTGAGTGCAGTGACTGGGAAGTACATTGTTTCTATTGCAGACAGTGAAGAAGACTCCACAGTGGAGCTTGATTACGACTCGGTGAAAAACAAAGGATTCTGGGTGAATGCGTATACCATGTGTGAATGTGAACAGGTAAATAATCTTTTATTACGTGAACAAGTTGTTAAATGGACTTCAAAGATTAAGTCAGTTATAAGTCTACCAATATAAAAAGTTCTCAGCTCTTTACTGATACTGTTTGTGGTCAATATGGTCATATAAACAGGGAATAATGAAATATTTGTAATAAGTAAAACTGGCAGTTATGAACATCAAAGAATGCCACTTTGCAATGATATAATGATCGAAGGATTAGGATGCTTCCGTTTGAAGATGGGGATTTTGTTGATAACTCTAAATAGCAATTTCTACTTTAGATAAAATAATGAAATCCTTGCAAGATTAAGAAATATCAGGATTTGTAGGTTGTATCAGTCCACATTATGCTCCTATTAACTTTGACTTAGTTCAAGTTATACGTTTTATTTTTAGCACACCTGGCACAAAGCACCTGTGAGATTATGGTGCAATGTCCATCTGTCTCTCAATTATTTAGCCCATCATCGTCAGAAAGATATAAACTGAAAAACAGATAAAGGTGGGCAATCGAAATGATGTATCAGTCATGCAGACTACGGTTTATTTAAATCATCTTGGTAGTTTATGAGGAATAGTCCAGGTGTGTCCTCATCCATGGACAGATGGCAAAGAGACAGACAAATTGATGTCTGTATACCACCTTAACTTTATTGCAAGGCATACAACAATTGAAATAATAATATTTGTTTTTGTTTTTCTAGGGATGGCACAGTGTTTGTGATCCAATTGAAATGAGGTTCAGATTTGATGTCGTGCAACTAGAGGAATATGCGTCCTACCTTGCTCGCATAACCATGGTTATGAGGCATGACCCTAATTTTGCCCTTAGTCTGTACAACAGTAAGGCAGGTCAGCACTACCTCAAGTTGATACAGGAGGTAAGTGTTGCCTGTCTTTAGTGAACATTTCTGTATAGAACACAGTCAGTACATCACTGTGGCTCTGTATAGTGAGGAGGTAAGTGTTGCCTGGCTTTAGTGAACATTTCTGTATAGAACACAGTCAGTACATCACTGTGGCTCTGTATAGTGA